TGACTTAAGACTTTGAAGAACGAAGCACAAGAGAAGATGCCATTGGGGGTAGGTGTCCAAATTCTAGAATCCGCCCTAGTGGGGTCTAAGACAACATTATCAAGAAGTGCAAGAGAATCAAAATGTCTGAAGCAAGATTGATGACCGAAGTTAAGACAGCAGATTGATGACAGAAGTTGGAGTCCTAGGCGGGTAGACTAAGACGGAAAAGGCTTGGGCTGCTTGGCTGTTTGGAAGAAAACAGGCTAGGTGCTCGCCCATATAAAATATAAATCAGCCAATTTAACAGGGACAAGCCCAACGACAATGCTTTATCGTAGGACCCAAATACTTAACACACAATCCGACCAAACCCTAGTTGAGTTGGGCTTATGTTAGAACAAATTCAGAAGCAAAATATTTAGGTGTCTTTTACATTTTAGTAATCTTATATGAAATTGTGAAATATTAGTTGGTTTAGTGCACAAAATTAAAAGCAGACAGCATGTAAGGGATGTAATTAGAGTATAGAAACAAAAAACCTTGTGATCTGCCAGTTTAAACGGCATTTTGATTCTCTTACATGCTGTTCAACCTGCATGAATCACAAAGACATTCACCATAGAAAAGTAGGAGCCTTAACTGTAAAAGTACAAGAAACTAAGGCACAAGAACCGACCTAGATGTTGAAGTACATGATGTTCAATGCTGTACTTTGGAAAGTTGCCAATAATTTGGTATTTGAGAACCAAGAGCCAATGATTCTTTGGCATGGCTCAGTTTCTATCCCAATGGGCCATCTATCAACAAGCTTGAAACCGAATTGAGATGCAGTTGAAAGAATGGATACCTCATCAACTCTCCGTAAAACATGGCAGAGAATTAGAGCTGGTTTCATATCCTCCTTGATACCTCCATTAGAAGAAACCAACTCCCTTGCAGTTGCAAACAATGGTGTGATAGATTCAGGCACATATGTCACATCGGTGCCTATAATGACTTCAAATCCTCTATGGTTTAATTTCTTGATGGCCTCAATGTGATCCCTATTTCCCCATTCCAATCTCCTTGTCACCAGTTTATTGAGCAATGGTGGTTCAAGATTCAATGCCACATTCTGTTGTAACAGGTCCAGCGCTTGCATATCTCCATCAGTAGCAATTACTAGGTCCGCAGATCTAACAGCAACCATTGAACAGATTCCTGCACAGCCAGAACCCAACTCGAGCACTGTTTTCCCTGTGACAATAGAAGGATTTTCCACTAGCACAGAAGACATCAGATGAGCTGACTCCCACACCATCAAGCCTGTGGATTTGCAGGTGTGCTGGTATTCCTTGGGCAGTCTTCTTATCCTGAAGCTGAACTCTCTCAGATCTACCTCAACAATCTAGTAAATGCAAATGTACAATGTTATTATCTCATAAAAAATGCCAAGCAAATACAGGGTGCACTTACATTTACCTAAGATGTGAAGCTGAACAATATTGATTACTTTCAGAATTTATAACTAAAAAAGAGTGATTATGAGCATACCATAATATAATTTAAGGTCCAATACTTTAACAATGCATAATAACATGGCACTGAACAGAGTAGAATGGTGGAACAGGACTTGTGTATATAGTTGAGACAAAGCTTACTTGAGTTGAGCAGGCATATCATGATATATATATTCGACTAATTGATCGGTCTAACGAAGCTTCGCATCATGACTCTTCTTCCCTAAGGTGTGGTTGTAATACTTGTTAAATTTACTTATTCTTTATTCAGTCAAAAGATAGGTCAAATTTCATTGAACCCAAAAGTAAGTTGCTTCAGGTTCTCCAAATTTACTCTTCTAAAAGCTTGGAAAGGAGGGCCTGTTTGGGAGGAATCTAAAGATTCAACTAAGTGCCCTTTTGGGAGGGGCTGAGCTGAACATTCAGCTAAGCTAGTTCAGCTGCTTTGAGGTGCTCTGGATAAGCTATACAAAGAGGCTGAAGCAGAGCCCAAAATATAACCAACTGACAGCCGATTTGGGCTCTCCAGATTTTTCACCAAACATAGCTTAAAGGCTGTCTGTGTAGGGCCCACCTTGGAAAGACAGAAGCCACTGTGCTTCAGCCCTCCCAAACAGGAACTAAGTTCAAAGAGGACGAAGTGAACAGTCCTTCAAATGACTGACAGACAGTTTGGGCTCTTCAGGTTTTTCACCAAACATAGCTTATAGGCTGTCCATGTGGAGCCTACTTTGGAAAGCCAGAAGCCCCTGTGCTTCAGCCCTCCCTATGAGCACTGCTAGAACAAGCAATGCTAGAAATTTGTAGAAAGTACAGAAGAAAAGAAGGTACATAAAACCTTACCTCATCCATAGATGGTGAAATACCAAACATTTCAGCAACAATACCATCAGAAATGTCAATGTCAAGATCATTTGCAGATTCCTTTTTGCTGTTGACATTGTTGAATTTAGATGCATTGAGGACATCTGGCCCATTCCCAGATTCCAAAATATAAGAAGGATTTGAACCATCAGAGAAGCAAAATACAGCCTGGATCCACCGCCTGAAATTACAGAAAACACTTAGAAGAGAGACATTAGACAAAGATTCTTCATTTCAAAGGGAAAAAATACTAAATAATGATGAGTCAGAAGTGGGGAAAAAGAAAAGAAAAGAGGTTCTTTCAAAAGAACAAGACTGATCATTATCATCAATTTCTGGCATGCATTGAGCAATTATTTTAGAGGAACTTTCAAGTCTATACACCTCAATTTTTCAAGTCCAACAGGGTTGGGGTTATTAGGATGGATTTCTTTAGAGGGTAACTTCACTACTTATATCAAAGATTAAGCAACAATCCCAGCAAATAGAAGGCATCCCATTTGACTGCTTGAGCTCAGGCTTATTTTAAGATGACCTTGTTACTATCCATGTTATATTGACACTTCAAAATGTGTCAGACTTGTGTGTGCAGACACCAACACCAACATGACATTTGATGACATTGTGTGTTGAATACATATATTTAAGTAACCGTGACTTAATAGGACAAATTTTCAGCATTAGTTGTCAATTTGTACAATCAATTTCGGCTGCTTACAAGTTCTTTGCATTTGCTTCTACATTTAATCTTTTTCAACAGTCATTACATGATTAAAGTATAGCTGCTGAATCACTTAATCCCTACTTTTTTGGGGCTTGCTGAGTCCAACACCTTGTGCCAGTGTTGAATACCGACATTTGTATTAATGTAATATAGGCAAGAGAGCGATTATAAAGAATATCCACCATAGAAAAATTGGATAGCTGGCACATACCGATTCATGACTAGTTCCCGCGAACGATTCTCAACTTGTTTGCAGCATAAACCAAGGTCTTCAACATCAAATCCACTTTCTTTGAACAAACTCGTTAAGAACTCCTCAGAAAAGTAAAAGGCACGCTGAGAACATGAGAACGATGTATGTAAGAGACCATTGAAATGAAAAAGGCTATTCCATTTTGAAAAACTTATCACAGTATGACTAAGACTTACAGTACCATCACCCCTGACATAAAAATTCTCACTTATCTTCTGATCCTTGCAGGTAAACCTTTCCTACAAATTTTGTATCATGAGAAATAGGACAAACAAACAAAAGTGCAACATTAACTGCTATAAGATCCAAATAGCAAACGAAAATGATAATAGAAAAATAAAATATACCCAACATGGTATCAAGGGAAAAAATATCTAAATGAAGATCTTTTTGGATCAGTAGGAACATCATTTAGTTCAATAGAGCAATTACTAGCCTAAAATTAGAGACCTCATTAGCATAAACTACAATATCAATATAACAAAGTAGAGAACATAAACTACAATATACTTACTATCCGGAAGTATGCAATCATATGGTTCAATGATACATTACATAGACACTTCCAAGATAGGTGCCATACCTGTGTCCGGCACACATAGACACTGGAATTGACATAACACTTGAGGGGACTCTTAAGGCTCTTCACATTTATGATATGTGACAGAAGAATCTCAAACTCTTACAGTAAATTTTAGTTTTTTTATCAGCAAGAAAATTTTATTAATTGTATTAGTATATGACAGAGATTTAGATGGTAAATTTGTAATATTTGATATATTTCCTTAGTGTTCTTCATTGATCTATGCAGCTACATATGTGTATATATATACACAACATCAATAAGTGGCTTGAAACTAAAGTATGGCAACCAAGTCCCCAAATCTTATTTTTTTCAAGCCTTCTGAATCTAACAAATTGTGTACATGTCAGCATGTCAACAGAGGTGTATCAGTAATTTAAACCATGCGCTTTTTATGTTCTTTTTTACAAATTTCGGTTATATATATATTTTTTCATTAAAAAAAGGTCCCTGAAAATACATGTAAACAGGTGCATCAGACCCCTATAGATACGATATGATATGCCCCATATCGGGCATACTGTATCGATACTTTGAACCTTGCATGTCAGATTCAAATATTCTACCATTATCCATGACAATTATCCATGTAACAAAGGTTAAAAATGCACTAGATTCTTTATTGTTGAAATGTAGAATAAACACAAATCCCTAGGAACAGGGAAAAAATATATAAACAACCTAAAACCATATGATGGGGCACTCTTACAAAATATACAAAAGTTGATGTCTTATCCCAGAAAAATAAGGTATATGATAAAGAGCACTTCTTAATAGTTAATACACCTTTCCCAGAATTCAAACTATCAAATTAGCAAACCTTGATATTTATCAAAAAAAAAAAAAAAGCAAACCTTGATACTTCCTGCCTCTTCCTCCATATGGTTCCACTATGTTATTGTGATTAGTAACAAACTGTATACTAACCATAAAGTAAAAGTTTCCAACAAAAGAAGTCTAGAATAAGTATAAAGCTCTAGGAGTGGAAAAAGGAAGAAATATGCATACTCTAACCCGAAAAACAGGGATCCCTGTATGGTATATACAAGAGTATAAGTCTATCCCAGAAATAAAGGTGCCCAGTAAAAAAATTGCTCTTTAATACTCCTCCCTAGCATGCAAAATAGATTTCTCAGATCTGGCCCATCTGGGACCCAAATGAACAAGAAGTTTAGCCTGGAACTTAATGACCTCAATTCTCCAAGTTGATATTCTACCTCCATAGGCGCTTGGAACTGTCCCTCAACCAACTTAAAAAAAAAAAAAAAAATCTGAGGACTTCCCCCTGGTTATATATTGCAAATCCCATAGAAATAAACAATCTGAACTGTAAAACTAGGGATAAGTTGATAAAAGCTCAGCTCCCACCAAATCCCTCAAACTCACTGGTATCAAATAATAAAGAATGGTGATACCACTACTCTCCTGGAATATTTGCTCCATCCCTGAAGGAGCTGGGAATAGGGTTTTCATGGCAAGAAAACTACAGAGATGCCCTTGTTCTAAGGTTCACCTCCTTAATGACACATCCTTGCCTTTTTAACAGGGGAAAACATAAAATGTCCTAAGAACAGAAATCTTAAACTGAAGTTTACATCCTGTTATTTTTTGTGGGAAAGCTGGAACCAAGCACACACCCTTATGGTTGGAATGCAGAACCTCAACCAGTTGAGCTACAGGCTTGAGACTTAATCCCATAGCAAGTAGATCCATCAAGCATAGGAGTCGAGTTTCAACAAAAACAGAGATAATATTTTAAGCCACTACAACACAGAAGTCTTAGCTTTCTCTTCCAAAGATAGTTAGCTGTAAATCTGTAATAGACAAACAATAAGCATATCAGAAGTTTCAAATTTGTACCAACCTGAGCAAGGTCTCCCACAGCATAATCTCTGAGCAGCACATGACCATTTGGCTGGAAAATATTTGGGAATCAGTGTAAATGAATAGTTCCACAACTTCTGCATCTAAGACATTTTGTAACAGACTAACAGAAAATATAACCATCCTTACTTTAATAACTTTTCTGATGTTCTGCAATACTAGAGGCATTTTTTCTGGAGATACTGCAGATAACATGAAAATCTGCTCAACAAGTCAGCTGGTTAACTAAATAAAATCAAAGATTTAAAAAAAAAAGAAAAAAACAAAGTGATAATATATTCAACAGAACGCCAAAAGATTGTTCTCTATGAGCAACAGATTATGCTAAAAGTATAAAGGATTAGTTCTGCTCAGGTACCATGGTTACAATGTCAACTGAAGATGGTGGGATCTGCTTGCTTAAGTCATCAACTGTCAAATCACAAATGAATGCATTGATTTGATCCTCCATGAAGTCTTTATGTGTCTGCAGTAAGAAAATAATCCATTTACTGCAGTATATAATTTTTTTTTGAGAAGGTAAAGTAAAATTTTATTGATGAGAGAAGATACAATACAATAGCAACCTAGTGGAAAAACACCAGGAGAACTACCAAATTACAAGGTCTAAATGGAGCGGGATTCAAGAAGCTGAAAGGCATTCTGATTTTTAAATTCTGAAATTACAGATAACCAGGAAGCAAGTCTATTGACAACAGTCTTAAGCAGGTCTTCAGGAGCTCTATCTTTATTGCAGAAGACGCGACTGTTCCTTTCAGACCAAACAGTGACCAGGATAACTGCAGGAATTGTTTTCCAGACCAGCTTTCCTTTCTTACTCAGACCAGAAAGCTTCCAACTACACAGCACCTCCTTTACAGATCAAGGCATGACCCAGCTGATGCCATTTGATTTGATGAAATGCTCCCATAACTTAGAAGACAGAGGGCAATCAATGCAAAGATGATCACCAGATTCATGAACCAAGCCACATAGACCACAGTTCAGATCAGGAATCTGAGTCCCACGCCTAATCAGATTAGTTCTAGACAAACATTTGTCTAGAGCCAATACCCAAACCAGAAAACTTCGCTTAGAGGGACTAGTAAGGACCCAAGTCTGCTTGCTAGGGAATTCTACATTAGAACCTTGACTTAGTTTTTCAGCCATAGATTTAACTGAGAAAACACCATCACCACATTACAACCTTGACTTATTTACTGTGGTATATAATCAAACATCTCTGCAACATATTATTGATCAAAAAAAAAAAACATCTCTGCAACATAATTCGTTAAAAATGATAAAACTGATAGACTGTTTTCCATATAAAAAATCAAGATAGACATATTATCATCATCATCCAAGACTTGTCCCAACTATATGGGGTCGGCTAAATGAATCCTGCATCACCAGTCTGTTCTGTTTAGTGTCATGTCCATTGCTAAATTGTTGGAGTTTAAATCATTTCCTACTACTCCTATCCATGCCCTTTTTGGTCTACCCTTGCCCTTCTAGCTCCTTCAACTTGTAACAACTCTACCAGTGTGAGCTTGTCTTACACCATTGGTCCCAAGCGAGGAGGGCTGCATCAGATTGGCAGCTGGCACTAAAACTTTTGCCAGGGACAGACGTTGATTTAGTAGTTAATACATATTTAAAGACCTAGTGGCATATACAAAAACGGCATGATCATACATAGGAGTGGCAATGGCTTGGGTTCAGGCAGATCCATGTATATCCAGATCTGAACCATATTACATGCATCAGTTCTGGATCTTATTGGGTTCCCAGATGTGACACTGTGACAGGTGGTTTGGAACTAATTGGATATGTGGAAATTTGCAAAATGTTGCTAAAAGCACTAATTGTAAATGTCTCTGCATGTAAATGGTTAGAAATAAACAGAAAAAAAAAATGAATTTGGTTTATACTTCCTATAAATTTCAGGATTCATGTACTTCAACATTTACTGGCCACCTACTAACTGTGCCTGGAGATCTGGTATCAACCCATTTATAGTTGGATCCAAGGTTTGTAGAAACTCAGCTGGGGGTGTATGTTGGCTACCCATTGCCACCCCTCCTACATCTATGTAACTAAAAACATAGGCATATGAACAAGAAAGCCTATCATGTTCATGTTATGAAGTATCTTTCTAAAATATTTACCGGTGGAAGTCTGTGATATTAAAATAATGTAGTTAGTCATGAAAATTATTATATACATCATAAATAGATAATGAAGGGAAACAAGACATAAACCACAAATTACACTTTATGATTTTTGTCTAGATAAAAGCAATGATAAGCTCATAAGCATCTGGGAGTATGGAACATAATCACATTTCCAAGAGGGTTTGTCCTTACATTGGCATGTATACATTATGTTATGCACCAAAAAAATTTAAAAGGTTATAAAAAAAAAATCACCATGTTCACATGGATGGAGTAAAGAAGAGAAAGAAGAATTTCAGTGGATCATTCATCCTTATCCTTCTCACAACCAATTCATCGCTACCTCACTCTAAATTCACCAATTTATTTACACTATTTCACTCGATCTCATTCATGATATCATTCATATCAAATAATCCCATTTTCCTAATGTGTGTTAATTACCCAAGTGAAGAAATCAAGGTAGTATACTAAAATATAGTCAAATGTCCAAATAATACCTATATTGTTAATGCTGCTAATAGATCTAAGATAGAAACTAAAGAATCAAACCTTCACCAAGTCAATGGCACGTGGTGAGAAATCACATGCATGAACGAAAATTTCTGGGTATGTTGCAACCAGAGGAAAGATAGTGTTTCCAGCGCCACAGCCAACCTGCAGAATGACATTAGTGATCAACAACATAATATGCAGTACATGCATAACAGAACAGTTAACTCCAATCAGAAGGATAAAAGCTGGGAAGAAAAAGGGAGCATCTTTTAGAAAAATATCACAGCACATAAATGAATAAAGATCATGAAAGATAGAAGTGCCTCCAGATCAAACTTTACTTAGCTACATGATTAATAAACTAAGACAAAATGTAAGACAGGGACATCGAAGAAGCTTCACCATCTTCAGTTCTATTTGAGTAAAAATGTAGTTTTTGAGCGCCACAAAACTGACATTCTCAAAAAAGATATTTCATCTCAACAAACACAAAGCGATTGTTTAATTCCTATCCACGACTAATTTAAAAGGTCTAAATTCATTCATGAAGAAAATACAAGGAACAAGCATAATTCAATAAACTTCAGAAAACCTATTAGAACGTTATTAAATCAAATATTGTTCCTTCTGAATGGATGCAAACTGCAATCAGATAATAGCCCATCAATGAATCCAGTTAATTTAAGTGCAACAGCGACGGGCAGTAGCGACACTAACAAAGAGTAGGAAACCTTCATAAGAGAATCTGACCGAGTTACCTCCAAAACAACTTTCCTTCCTTCTCCCTGAAAATTCAAGAAAAGTAACCAAATTTTAGACGAGAAAAAGATCCTCCCTTTGGATCGAATTGCCCAAAGCTGAAACCAACACTAGAGAAAGGCGGTTTTCAAACTCACATGGAAATAATGACCCCATTCCTTGCCCAAGTAGTGCCGATCCTTGAAGAACTGAGAAGATAAATAAATTCAAATATTTTACCAGTACTATTATTATCATAATTAGCAGTAAACCTAGTCGTAGTAGTAGCGGAAACGAAATTAATGAAAGAAGAAAAAAAGCAAACTTTATCCTGATGTCGCTTGTAGAAGACATCCCAGTACTTCTTAGCATCCCTTTCATACTTCTCTGCCAACATTTTATTCATAAAGATTCAACGAGAATGAAAGAAAACAATAAATTCGACCGTTTGAATCAACTAATGCATATAGACATGAATGCAAAGATCTTCTTTTGAAATGAAATTTTATTTGGCCATAAAAGAAGAACATGAATGCAAAAGAAATAATGAGAAAGAGAATGAGCTTTACCTCTCCAGAAAGGGGAGACTCCAGAACAAGGGTTGGAGTATATCTGCAACCTCGGAGTTTGATGTTGTTGATTTTGTTGTTCGGCCCCCTCTCGCCTCTCAGACGCCATTACTATACTGATCTCCGCTCTTTTTTCGGAGGCGAAAGGTGTATGCAGACGCCTCCGCAGTAGTACAGGGACTACAGGCTGCAGAGCAAGAAAGCAATGGTTTGAAAACCGGGTAAAGTGACGGGCCAGACCAATCCGCTTTATTAGCCGAGCAGAGCCGGAACGGTTCAACTCGGGCATGAGTGGGATGAAAGGATTGGGATGCTGGATGCTATTGCTTGGAAAAGCGCCCAACGGAAAATGAGTGCGAAGTCCAGACTGTCCAGTCATGTTTGGTCCCAGACCTCCCCCTACTCCTGCTTCCTCCCGTCGTTTAATTATTTCTCGAATGAATTCGGATTTTCTTTTTTCGGATGTCTCTGAAGAGACAATGAATTCGGATTTGTTCCTAACAGAGCGCGCTCCTCACACTCACCTCATGGTTGCAGCAAACATCTCCCGCCGCGTAGAAATCTGGGCGATGTTCCCGGTGTGCGGCTGCAAATGCTTCTAATATTTGCACTATTGCATATAGCTATGGCAGAGTTCGGATGTGCTGATCACAACACATTGCTGAGTGTGTGGTCAGCATATCCGAACTCAGCTATGCAAGGGAACCAATTGGGATATCACTCTGGGATCGGGATTTTTTTGACTCATGTACTTTCTGCTGACTTACAATCGGGATGGAAGATGTGGAGTGAAGTCCCCTCTAACCTCACTCCAATGTATATTAGACAGATTTCAATTCTTTTGAGCAGTGTTTTCGAACCGCCATTGACTCCAACAACTAGACCATTCGACTCAAGAACTGTCCAAGCAAGTAGTTCCATTTTATCATTGACCCGGTTTTTGGCAAAAAATCGTTGATTTGTGATGGTGCGCAATCTGGAAGCTCATAGCTGGAAGATTATCTAGACACTAGTCACGTAGCGAATTGAACCAAGTTGCAAGATAAAGGACCAGAGAACCTAGGGTGGCTAATCCGGCGAGGTCGCTCCGATGCTTAAATTAGTATTATACTCTAGTTGTGAGCTGAAAGCTTGAATGCAAGTAAACTAGTAAGCAAGTAATTACGCGTACCTGAGTCTTGGGGGTTGATGCCCTTATATAGTTGGGCTACCGTGGGTCTCGCGAAACACTCCCTGAATCCTCGGCCCGTGACATAGGGATTCGTTCCACTTTGGAAATAGGGTAATGTACCAGTTAATGAGGCTTGTAGTTTCCCTCCAATTCGGGTGGGGGTGAGGATAAGGCCTATAGTTGCACGGCGTGATCTTGAGAAGTTCGGAAACAACTGGCGAATTTCTAGGTTCGGTTATGTGGCACCTCGATGTACGTGGGTGCCGAGGTGCTCCCACTCCGAAGTGACCGAGCACCCGAGGTCCCACGATCTGCTGACGTGGCACCACATGCTGATTTGTCGTGTGGCTGGCAAGCCGCGTCCACGTGTCTTTTACTTACTAGGTCAGGCCAAATCACCCCTCATCAATTTGGTCAGCAACCCATTGACACATTCAACGATTTTTTGTTTTTCTTTATTTAAGTATATTTTATTTTTATATTTTTTCAGTTTGAATGGGTCATCCATTCGAACAAGACGATCGAACCATCAACCCAAAAACCAATGGCCATAATGGTTCCAATTCTGGTTCAGTTTTAAAACCTTGTTTTTGAATTTTTTTTGTCAAAATAAACTTTTTATTGAAAAAAAAAATTGAGTTCCTGATGGGAACCTGTCTCCTACTCTCCCTAGCAAAAATCAAGGTCAGAAATGGGGAGTTACTAAAAAATCAGGTTTGAGATGGAGAGTATGGTCCCCTCTGAATATGCTCCTCACAACACCTCCGAGCTACAAGAACATCTATCATACTTTATATATTCATAAGGAGATGTTCCAATACACAGTAGGATAGGGCTATGAGGTCGGTGTGAGGTGCGTTCTTTGATAAGCAAATCCCATTCCCTCAAATTCACTCCATTGCCATTCATTTGTATATTAGAATGTGTTGATAGGAGATGCGTATCAACTATAATACATATGATTCATTAATAACATGATCATTAAATGAGTTGGGGCTCAAATGCTTTTTAATGTAACTATAATTTTACCATTATTGGCATGTGGAACATTATGGCCTTAATTAATTCTATCAATTTTGGAGAAGGTTGCAAATTGATTAGATGGAATTCAGATTTGGTATGTATCCAAATTTGATAAAAATAATTCCAATAAGAACTTGATACATTCAAATTCAATCCAATACATAATATATGATAGATATCTAAAACATAGAATCAAATCCAATATATATATAATATGAATCCTGTTTTTCCAATTCGTTTTTATTTAAAGCTATGTCCACTGTTAAATTATTAATGGTGTTTAAACCATTTTCTTACTATTTCCACTCTTATCCTGTTTGGTTTATCCCTAATTCTTCTATACCATTCAATTTGTTTATATATCCGGGCATTTAAATTCAAATTTAATCTGACTAAAATATCAATAGATTTTATATAAAATTATAAAATTAAATCATCACCATCTAAAGCTTTGTCTCAACTACATGGGATAGACTAAAGGAATTTGTTTTGTCATTTCATTTTGTTTTTTTACCACTTCAATTCATGTTCTTTTTGGTCTATCCGTAACTATTGTAGCTCTTTTAGATTACAAGAGGATCACTTTTACAAAACTAAATATAAAAAAGGAATTGATCATTTTAGATGAATCAAAACTCAATTCAAGTCAAAATAATTTTTTGCAGCCCTAATATTATTGTTAGGCCCCATTCTTTTACTGCTATTTTATTTATTTGGGTAAATCCACTTACTCAGATAAGTGTTTCCTAGGTAAAATTTACTTTGATAAATTTATTTATCCATATTATTTTTGTTGAAACTTACACAAATAAATGTTTCATGGGTATTTTTGTATGAATAAAAGTCACTTTATTGCTCTTTTCGCYGATTGAAAAGTAACTTACCCACCTCTAATTAGATGGATAAGATCTTCTCAAGTAAATAGCCAAAATATTTACCTGAGGGAATGTATATTCTCTATAGATCCCACATACATTTGCAAAAGAACATGAGAAAATTGACAAAATTTCCTACCCAAAATAGCGGTAAATGAATGGGCCTTGTACTTGGATCAGGACTTTATTAAATTTCATCGGGTTCTGGACTCTAAATTGAGCCTAGTGTATTTAACAACATGCAAAGCAATCAACCCAACTTGCAATTATAACAAATGTGTTTTAAATAGCACTTGAAATCTATCCATTCATTAAAAAAAAGAAAAGAAAAATTATGGACAAAAATTATTCTAATAAGGTTAGAACTTATAATTTGCGGCCCAAATCTTGGTGGGTCCCAATATGTATCCACTTTTCTGATGTAATATGTGGTGCGCACTTGGGAAGGAAGAAAATTTGTTCACATCTTCACACTAAAAAAATGCCAAATACCCATTTTGAGAAGGCTGTTTGGTGAGAATAATGCTGATATTTATAAAAAAAAAAATTTACAAATCAGCCTTAATTTTGTAAAAACTCTCTTAAAGCTTTGGACATCACCCTGACTGACATAAATCAACATTAACTGATTATTGTATAGATATTTTTTGGAAGAATTAGTCTTACCAAATGAGAATTTTCACATTATTTGGAAATTGAGTGACATGGGAGATTTGTAAATTGCAATTGACAAATCAATTCCTCCAATCACAATTTAAAAAAGCGCAATTAGTTTTAGGTGCTACAAAAGACAATTCAAATAACCAACTGATTGGTGGTTGATTGATATGTTCGCTACTTCATTACAGCAGAGACCCAAAATCTTGTTGCCACCGGGGTTTGAGGGGAAGGCCGTAGACCTGGCAATTGGATTGGGTGGATCGGGTTCGGGTTGGGTCAAGATACTTTGGTTGATTTCGGTTTGGGTTGGGTTGTTAAATGCTAGATCCTAACTTTAAATGTTCAGGTTAGGATTGACCTTGGGTTAATTCGAGTCATCCCAAAAAATAACTGAAATCTAAAAACATAAAAAAAACATGAAAATGTCAAAATTAAAGGAATTAGCCTTAAAATTCCAAATATAAAATAAAAAAAATCGAACATTTAACAATTCAAAGAGTAAACAACAAAGAGTAAAGACTAAATAGAAAAAATTGAAGAGTGGAAACTTCTAACAATGCATAAATAGTCCCAATTAGACTTGGCAATCAGGTCAGCGGGTTGACCCATGACCCAACCCAACCTAGTTTTTTTCGGGTTTGTTTATTCCCCCATTCTGCCATTCATATAGCTAAATATGAGACCCTAACCCTGTTTTTTCAGGTTGGGTTGGGTCAGGTTCGCAGGTTGGGTCAATTTTTGCCAGGTATAGGGATGGGCTATCCATTATGTACCCCAATGTCAAATTGCTCAGGCTATGTTTGGTTTGAAGGAAAATGTATGAAAAGGAAGGAAAAGATAGAGAAACCTAAGGTTTGTAAAGGTTTTTCAACCTTTTCCTTCATTTCCCTACTTTTTCCTTCAAACCAAATATAGCATTAGAAAAATATATTTGATTCAAGAAAAGTTTTTATGTTTTTTTTTTCAAATCCCAATCACATAACAATCCATTACAAAATGTGGTGTTTCCCTTATTAAATTAGATTTTTTTATAAGAAAGCAATTTATATTTTAAAAAAAAAGATTAAGGGTCTATTTGGTTTGCGGTCATAATTGGAATTGAAATCCTTTAAAACTAAAATTAGAATGACGTGTTCTCACATTGTTTGGTTTAGACAGGAATGAGAGTGGGAATTAGAATTAGCAGGAATGAGATTTTATTCCCAAGGGAAGGGAGGAGCAGAAAATCTGGCCATTCTCTCAAATGGGGAATGCCATTATAGAAATGGGATTCCGATTTTACCCAACCAAACAGCTGAAATCGGAATAGCCCATTCCGATTCCGATTCCGATTCCAGACCCCTATTCCGATTCCGATTCCGATTGACTCGTTTTGGATCGGCGATCCTCCTTCCGAGTCACTGAGTTTTGGAACAATGACCTGGATCTAATTATCAAACAAATTTGAAAGCGTCGGAATTGTAAATTTGGATCTGGAGACAGTTCACAAACACTGAAAGAGAACCCAACACTTCAACCGCAAATCAGTTGATAAGTCAATCAGTTCGCTTGCTTCATCGGCGTTTCTCCCCTGAATCCTGTTGGTAATATTGGATCTGCATTTTGTGGAGTTCGAGCCTTACCAGAGACTCCAATCCTCTTAACTATCACTATTATTACTGAAGGCATTGATGGAGCCTGAGAATCCAGAAGAGGCGACTGTGGTGGCAGGTCTCCTCCCCCTAGCTTCCGCCTCTCAGCAACCCTACGTTTCAGAGCTTCTATCTTTCACCCTTGATCGCCTACACAAGGTTTTTCCTATTGGATATCATTTCAATATCACAAATTTATCTGAAAACTATGTACACAGTTCGTAAGGTTGTATTCGTACTGTCCTTAGGAGCCAGAGCTTCTTCGGGTCGATGCCGAGCGAATTCGTCGGCAAATGCAAGAGGTGGCGGTTGGGAATTACCGTGCGTTTATTGCCGCTGCCGATGCATTGCAGTCAATTCGAGAGCAGATCACGGCTGTCGACAAACATCTTGAATCGCTGGTATGTTGTTAACTCTTATTGTCTTGTTACATAATCTTGTAATTACAATTACAGTAATTGAAGCATCTAATGAATTAGCAGCATGTGTGAAATTAATCCACAACTCATTATTTCGATTTTCTTTATCCTGTTATGTACCATTTTTTCCTCTTTCTTTGTGTGCGTGGCTAAGAATGGAACTAGGAGATGCCTGTTGATCTTACAAAATAGAAATTTATTTATTCATCGAAAACTAATCAATTTTTATAGAAAACATGGGGTCCTCAACATTTCTAAATAAGATTACTAAAAGTTGTCGGAAAAACTTACCAGCTTCTTTGCTTCCATTGACTCTCAAATTAAGGTTTAGTGCATGGTACAGTGAGAACTAGGCTATTAAAAAAAGATTTATTTTATCCTTTGCTATTTCCAAGTTGTTACTGTTGTTCATGTAAAATATTGTAAATAGGCTCTTATGTTGCATAGATTATATAGCTTAATGATGAAGGATAGCATTTGGGGAAGGTGACTGGGTGAGAGAAAATAAAAAGGTTGTAAAATAGGCTCTTATTTTTGTGTTATCATGCATGGCAACCCCCTTTTTCTGCAAGTTTGAATCATTTTTTTATCCCTTTGGCATAATCAAATAAAAATTAATAGTTTCATGTGTGCATCAACCAATGTAATGATCTTCAAGTGTTATTTACCTTTTCTTGATGACTTATTTGCTTATTATGAAACTACCAATCATTGATTTTCTTTGGGATGGTCCTAAGGATGAGGAAAGATATCATCTTATGGACTGGACCAGGGTAACCTTCGTAAAAGAAGTGGGTGGACCGGGGATTAAAACTCTCCAGTTGGTGAATAAGGTTATTCTGCTTCAATGGTAGTGGAGATATGGTAATGAACCAAATTGTCTTCGTAGGTGGGTCATTAAGATGAAATATGGGGAGTAGGCATTTTGGATTGGAGTCTAAACCTCATCCCTATCGTTCTAGTGTATGGAGGAGCATTCTTACCATGCAGCTAGGTTGATGCTATTGTTGGAGATTCCTATGAAGTGATTGCTGATGAGGCGGTTTGGGTTCCAAGATTCAAATATAATGTCAATGATTGGGTAGCTGAGGATCTACTTACTTTTCTTTGTCACCTTCAAGAAACAAATGTTTTGATTAGGTTCTCAGTGGAATCCTTCTATAATGATTGTATAGTGGATCCTTTCCCTGGTGTTGGATTTGTTTTCCATAAATCTCTTCAAGGAGTTGCTTCTTTAGGTGGTCTGCTCACTCAAATAAAATCCTGATGATTGGCAATCTTATGACTAGGGGCAATGTGTTGATGGTTAATCAATGTATGTTGTGTGGCTCTGTCTTGGTGACAGTTTAGCACTTATTCATTGCTCTCTTTTTCCTTCCAATTTGGTGGCACTTCATCAAATTATTTCTTAAGGAACCATTGAACCTAAAAGCTTAAGCTGTTAGGTGAGGTCCCTGAATGGGTTTTATTCTCGAAAGCACCCCGTCATGCAAAAGGGTGGGAAAAATGGAGGGGTGCATCTGGACTTTAATGTGATAGGTGAATACCACTTAGATTAAAAGGAAAATTCTATAAAACAGTTGTAAGGTATGCTGTATGGAGTGGAGTCTTGGGCAGTCAAGAAACATGCCCAAATAAATGGGTCTGGCAAGGGGCAAACAGGAAGCAATTGTATTGGGCTCATCTGTAATCTGAATTTGTTTTTCTGTTTTCTTTTTCCTCTTGTTCTTTGGAGAGGACGCAGCTTGCGCTTCTTCACGGGAAGTTTGTATTTTCAGCTCTTTTATTAATGAAATCTTAAATTATTTATAAAAAAAGGGTGTGGCAAAAATGCAAATGCTAAGGATGAGCAGAAAAACTAGAAAGGATAGGATTAGGAATGGGAGAAAATATATTAAGATGGATTGTTTACGTGCACAGAATACCAAACTTCTTTAAACAGCCAAAGAAAAGAGGAAGGCTAATGTGGAAATCAGTGAGGGTGGCAATGATATGACTATATAGGAAGAAAGAAATGAGAGGATCTCCAATAAAACGAGCAGGCTTGTGGGGGAAATCACCAAATGACATTGTATGAATAGGAAGTGGCACTTTTGGCTCAAGAAAAGGAAAGAATAATCATGGAATGGAGACCCCCCGGAAAGCAACTTTATAAAACTTAACTTTGATGGAAGTGTTATAGGTAATCAAGGTGTGGTTGGGCTAGGAGGTGTCTTTAGATATTCAGAAGGCAAGGTACTAGGCCTATATTCAGGACCTATAGAGCAAGGTGGTTCTTTGACAGCAAAATTATTGGCCTTACTCCATGGTTTAAGGTTTGCAAAGAAGTTCGGGTTCCAGCATTGGGAGGTGGAAGGGGACTTCAGGTGGTCATTTCCTGGACAAGAAGCAATACACAAATCCCATAGGTTTATAGAGACACTTTTTAGGAAATTGAAAACATAAGAAGGAAGTTAACTGTTACATTTAAATGGGTGGGAAGAACATGCTTTGTACTCTTAAGGTGCTTTGTAATCTTGTAAGCGCTTGCATCTTTCAAAGTCAAAATCTCTCTCTGACACACACACACACACACACAAACACATGCACACATCCCTTTTCAAACACATGCTTGTTTAAAAGTTTTCAACAACTTTAGGCCTTGGGATCCCTTCCTTGTCAGGTTCTGTTCAGAAAGGATACAGAGACCCAAAAGGACAATTGGCCTTCCAATCGCATAGGATATTTACATTGAACCTAGGCAATTGTGATGATACTATCATGAGATATAGATTTTTTTTTTTGATAAAAGGTAAGGTAAAATTTATGATAGACATAGAAAATTGTTACAGATGCAACCATTGTGTAAACCACGGCCATTTCAAGCTCAACTGCATATACCAAGCAGCCCTATATTATTTTATAAGCCCCCTTAGCAGTTTCCATGATTGTGATATTGATAATTTGGAATGTGCTATATCCAACATTTTATACCACCCCAATAATATTTTTTTTGATGAATAAAGAAAAATTTTATCTCTCTCCATGGTGCTCCATTGTACTCTTTTTTATTAATGAAATTATTCTGTTACTGATAAAAAAACTACTGATTGCAATTTGCACATTCCAGATTGTTCTAATCATTCTTATTCCTTAAATTTTATGTTAGGTTTCTAATTCCTTATTACATTAGGTTGAATTTTGTCAAGTAATAGCCACCATTATATCACACAGATTAGAGATGATCTTTCTTAGTTGATATTATGGAGGAATGCAAAAATCAAGAAATATATCATACAGAAAGAGTTGCCTCGTGTGTATTGTGTAGCATGCTCAGTGAAGCTCATAGTTGCCATTCATATGGTTATATATGATTTCAGAGGTCATGGTTGATTCAACTGAATGATTGTAACCATCTATATTTCTTTCTATTAAAAACAAGTTTATTTATCTTTATCTTGTATTGCATACTAACAAATTGTTGGTTAATAAGCCATGGCATGTCTGTTTTCTGGTATTTATTCCATTTAGCCATTTTTCATGTCCAAGTTGCATTAGACATGCAAAATATGCATGTATATGAACCATACACACATGTTCTATTCACTTATAGTTTTAGTTCTTTATTTAACAAAATTACAGAACCTGAGGTTTTATTTTATTCCATTGTTGGCAGATAACTGAGGTTCCAAAGCTTACATCTGGTTGCACTGAGTTCATTGATTCTGCACAACAGATTTTGGAGAAGAGGAAGTTGAATCGAACACTACTAGCCAATCATAGTACTTTGCTTGACTTGCTTGAAATTCCCCAGCTTATGGACACGTATGTGTTTAATCAAATAGCAATATATAATTCACAGTCAATGTATTAGGCCCCAAGCCCATTTTTGTTAACATAAGGCATTTACAGTAGTATCCTTGTGATATTCTGTTTATGCATAAATTGACAGAAATATGAGAACATTTTTAGAAAATAATATAGTGACTAGTGGTACAGCACAAAAAATAAAAAATAAAATTATATCATACAATTTCTACAGTTGCATTATTTTTAGCAACTCTTTGAGTGAGGAATTGACTATTCTCATAATTTTGGGTTGTTAACAAGTCTTGCTAACACTATTTACTGTAGTCCAAATTAGCAAACTATTCATTACTTAGTTGTAATGCTTTTTTCTCTTTTTCAATTATTTGTTTCTTCTGAAGTAGTGGTAGTCTTGCAATATATGCTTTTGTTGTAGATTTACTCATATTTCTGAGGATTTTCTTTCTTTTTTTTGGAAGATGAAACAAAGTATATTATATTAATGATAAAAGAAGGGGGGAAAGAGCAAATCCATGACCATAAACCAATACAAAGCAAGACCAGAAAGCAAAATGGTCATCCCAAATGATTTTTTTTTATCAGTAACATAAAACTTTCATTAATTAAGAAAAAAGTTTAAAATACAATGGTGGGGGGAGGTAAACCCTCTTACCACACCCTCAAAAGGAAATTTACAGTGTAGCTCAGAACAAATGACTTCTTCCCACCCCCTGTTTGGCCAAAGCATCTGCAAATGAATTAGCACATCTTTTAACCCACCGGACACACACATCCATTCCTTGGGTTAGCCACCGGAAATGCCTTCGTTCATTAATGTATGCCCATAACCCATCATTTGCCTTCTCTATCAGCCAGTTACCACCTGCGAATCTCCTTCAATAATCAACCTGTTTATATTCAACTCCTTAGTCCTTTTTACCCCCTCCAAGAGGGCCAGAATTTCTGCTCTCAATGAATCTCCAACTTCAATTGGTCCTGAAAAAAGGGCTATAACTGAACCTGCCTCTGTTCTGAAAACACCACCAACCCCTGATGGCCCTGGATTTCTTTCACTGCTCCCATCAAAGTTGAGTTTGATAAAACCTTCCATCGGGGGGGGCACAGCCGATGGACATTGATTCTGCTAGGAGACGAGACTGCTATTTCCTGCCAATTGTTCACAATGGTCTCTATTGGAGTATCCTCAAATAGGTTCATTGTTTTTACCCATTGTGCTACCCTCAAAGAAATCACTTCTATAATTGTGTCCCTGCTTCTTACTTTTTCAGCAAATATCCTTTGGTTCCTTTCCTCCCAAATCGTCCAACAAACTGCTGCCCTAGTGCACCTCCACAAGATTTTCCCCCTCTTTTTGATCCAGCTACCAACTAAATAGGTGAAGAGGCTTCGAATGCTTGATGGGGGAGTCCACCTACAACCAAATAAAGAGAGAAATCACTCCCAAATAGATGAAATAAAAGGGCAGGATATAAGTAAATGAGAGCAAGACTCACCATTGGCTTTACAAAGGGTACACCAGTGTGGGGACAGGCACCAAAAAGGCTTATTTTTTTTGAAGAGGATCACAAGTATTAATTCTTTCCAAAGCTATTTCCCAACAGAGTGCTCCAACCCTAGGTGGGACCGGTCTTCCCCACACTTTTTTAGAAGGGAAGGGAATGGCAGGAGTAAGAGAAGAATGGGCCAAGGCATTGAAAAAGGAGGCACAACTGAAAGAGCCAAAAGAGGAAAGGGTCCAAATTCGGGAATCCCCCTTTGACGGTTCTAAGAAGACCTTTTGAAGTACCTGAACTAGGGACCACACCAACTCTATCTCAGAATCTCTGAGACCTCGTCTGAAACCCAAATCCCAATTAAGCTGAGGTCCTGAACCAACAAAAGAAACTAAAGATGAGGCAGTTAAGCTTTTGTACCTAGAAAGGGAGAACAGGGAAGGGAATTGATTCTTAAGTGGTGTCTCCCCCACCCACACATGTTCCTAGAACCTTACCATATTTCCAAACCACAAATTATACCTGACAAAGGGTAGAAAACAAGGAAGAATGTCATGGATGGCTTTCCAAGGTGCTGTTGCTAATGCTCTAGCCGAAATTCCTATGTCCCAGCCATCTACCGTCAGCCCGTGTATGCTCTTAATCACTTTTGTCCACAGTTTGTCTTGTTCCACCTGAAATCTCCATAACCACTTACCCAACAAGGCTGTATTCCTCTTCTGAATGTTCCCGATTCCTAGACCCCCTAGCTCCTTACTTCTAATCACCATTTCCCATCTTACCCTATGATCCCTCTTTTCCTCTCCCGGTTCCCATAAGAAATCCCTCATTATCTTCTCCAACCTTCTACAGGCATCCTAAAGACCAAAAGAAAGTAAACTGGCAGATTTGCTAAAGTTGATTTGATCAATTTAATTCTTCCACCCATCGAGAGATAATTCCTTTTCCAGGAGGCAAGCCTTTTTGAGAATCTATCCACCACCGGGTTCCAAAAATTCACGCTTCTAGGGTTGCCCCCCAGAGGTAAACCCAAATAATTCATAGGCCACTGACATATCTCACAACCCAATATTGTTGCACATTCAATTACTTCTTCATCTTCCATGTTGATACCTGCCACACAAGTCTTATTGAAGTTAACTTTCAGATTTGTCATTTTCTCAAAGACTTGTATCACCTCCTTCATATTCCTCACCCAATTCAGATCACCTCCCTCACAGGATAGTACAGTTATCCCAAATGATACTACACCGGGAAGCATTACAAACAGAAAATGAGGAGCCTGATCTGATCCAAATCCGACATTTTGGATTTTGGATCAGATTTGTATCCAAGGGTTTGCTAATGGATCAGGTTCAGATGTAGTTGGATCCGATCTGAATCCAATCCGGTTACAGCCCTAATAACAAACCCAAGACTCCAAAGTCTCTGACCAAAGACGATGGCCCAACAAACAATCAACCCCCGTCAACCACAACAATTCAATAATAGCAACATCCAAACCACAGCTCAACCAAGCAAAAACCAAACCAACCAAAAAAATGTCCCTGCAAGGTCTAAAACCTTGCAGTCTCTAGTTATGTTCTAATTATGCATGCTTTTAATCTTTTATTTGGATTTTGGTGTCATTTGGTGTTTGTGAGGGGACAAGGTGGTGATGTATCTCACCTTGTCCAGTTGGTCGATGACATCTTAGTTTCCCCTTTGGAGATGACTAAGTAGATTGTGTGGTCCCTTGAGTCTAACAGTTGTATCTGCATGTGTGTGCTATGATACTTGGATACCTGTATGCGCCATATGTGCTAATGTCAGACACAATACATACTGGATACAAGTTACAATACCGGATACTGGATGGGCACTTCTAAATAATCTATAGCATTTAAAATGGTATGTTTTAACAGATCATGCTATAAAAAATCTACATATGTTCAAAACAAGGGGTTAATAGGGATATTTTTTTATTGGCAAAAGATTTTCAATAATTAATAATTAATAATTAATAAAGAAACTTTGTACAACAATTGGACAAACCCCAGTTACATCAGATCACAGTTTTGCCCAAAATAAAAGAGGTCTGTCAACTCCCTGTTTTGCTAATACATCTTCCATTCCATTTGCAGTTCTTACCCAGCTGAACTTAGAATTAATTTCCTTTGCTAGGAGATCAATTTCCCTGAAAGCATGTCTATAGTTCCAAGGTGCCAAATTGACTTGCTTGGTCCAGATATGACTAGTTGTGAATCTCTTTCAACTTCCAAGTCCCTAACACTATTGGGCTAAATTGTAATGTAATTTTTATTCTTGTATTGGCTGGGTGAGTGTGCACCTCGCACCTCTCCTTGGGATGCTTGTAAAGTTGTAATGATTTTATTTTGAAGTTTCTTAATAAAATTTCATTTACTTATCAAAAACAATCTGTATATGTAGAGTTTCAATTAAATCTAGCAAGAGAGAAGTTTTAAGAATTGACACTTAATTTAAATGCTAGGGTTAAAAGCACGATATAAGCATATTATATGGGATACTTATACCTTTATCTGTCTTTGGGGTTTTGGGAAACAGTGAATCCCTGTTTCCTGTATCAATATCTGGGCATCATAATGTGCATGTACACTTTGTGTGTGTGTGTGTGTGTTGCAGTATTGCATGTCTCTCCTAAATGGATGAAGTTTTGTGTTGGACACATGTCAGATTTTTACACTTAATGGATTCTTGAGGGACACTTCTACGTAACATTTTCCTTTCTCTCCTTGTTTATTTGACATAAATGAACAGTTAATGTACACTATGTATGCCATTTTTCATACAAAATTTTATCAAGAAGTAACAATGATAGATTTTTAAATCTTTAGATATATAAACATACACACTTTTCCATAGACATGTCAGTGAATTTTGTTTTCTATTTTGCTGGGTCTGACTCCCAAAAGCATATCAGGTTCTGGGTTTTGATTCCCCTGTCTGTGTCCATGCAACACTTGTGTGCCAGACTGCCAGGGGGTGTTTTGCATTGTGCTTGGATCCCATGAATATTAACCATTTCCCTTAAATATCATCTGAAATTAACTACTCCAAAAGTTAAGTTTTTGAATGGGAAGAGGCATGTAACATCATCACAGCTGATGTGCAGCATGTGCTTTGGTGGAGTAGAAAAACAGTTGTCTTTTCATGATTGTTTTATGTGTAATGGAAGGTAACATCTTTTTTCGATCAATAATGGAAGATAATATCCCTGTACATATGTGGTGAGTGGAATTCACAATCACTTCTTGGAGTTGGCTGTGGTATCTTTGGTGCCTCTCCACAGCATATTTGTAGGGCTGTCAATGGGTTGGGTCTACCCGGCAGAACTGAGCCGATTATGTTGGTTCTGGTTCTGCAATTTTGTCCTGATTAATAATTGGGTTGGGACTGGTTCTTGATGTTGCAAATTGATTCAGACCAAACTGATTATATAATTAATAATTGGGTTGTCCTGATTAACCATGGGTGATGATGTACAGCCCTTTGGGATCTTTATAGTTCTTCTAATCTCCTTATATTTTACCATTTATCAAAAAATACTTCTAGTTGTATCTGTTTTGTAGTTTTAATTAAACATCTATATTTATCATGATTTTTTGAAGCACCACTTATATCCTACTTTCTGCAGATGTGTAAGGAATGGAAACTATGATGAAGCCCTTGATTTAGAAGCCTTTGTTTGCAAGCTATCAACAATGCACCCAAAGTGAGTTTCATGTTTGTATCCTTTAATTCAATTAAGGTTTATTTTAGCTGCAAACCCTGTGATGGTAGCTAATGGAGCTTCTCGTACCAAGGGTACCTGTCATTCAAGCATTAGCAGCAGAAGTTAGGCAGACCACCCAATCTCTTCTTTCTCAGCTTCTCCAAAAACTTCGATCAAATATTCAGGTACGCTTTGTGAACTTGGAAAGAGCATATTAATTTCAGAATGTTTTTTTTTTTTTTTTTTTTCTTTTATGTTCATGGAAGATGTGCTTCATCATGTATATTCCATTTCCTTTCTAATTTATATGGGTTGGAGTTTTTTCTGATCTTTGCATGACCATCCTATTATATATATATATATATATATATATATATATATATATATATATATATATAGTTGCCAGAGTGTCTACGTATTATTGGATATCTACGGCGTATAGGAGTATTCGCCGAATCTGAAATGCGTCTACAGGTACATCCTTTTTCTCCCTTATCAATTGTAAAATGAATTTATTAAAATATGCAAAGAGATGCACATAAAAGAGGTCTGAAATGTATCTACAAACATGGCTTTGAGTGAAGTTTGTATGTATTTCAGTTTCAATTTTTAGGAATTGCAACAGGTACATCACTACATCCTTTTTCTCCCTTATCACTTGTAAAATGAATTTATTAAAATATGAAAAGAGATGTACAATAAAAGAGGTCTGAAATGTATCTACAAGAATGGCTTTGAATGAAGTTTGTATGTATTTCAGTTTCAATTTTTAGGAATTGCAATTTGATAAGATAGATGATTACAACATTTAAGTTACTACTTTATGGTTGATTCTTTAGGACATTAAGTTGGTATACAGTTAAGAACTCAAGATTCCGTTTTTGTCTGTTGTGCCTTTGCTCTCCTTAGATTTTGACAGAATTCTTATCATTTTGGCAGTTCTTGAGATGTAGAGAAGCATGGCTAGCAGGCATTCTTGATGATCTGGACCAGAGAAATGTCTATGAATATTTAAAAGGAATGGTGAATTGTCATCGTATGCATCTTTTTGATGTTGTTAATCAATACAGGGCCATATTTGCCGATGATACATCTGGAAGTGAAGAAAATTATGATGGGGGACTTCTTTTTAGTTGGGCTATGCATCAGATTAGTTCTCAGCTTAAGACTCTAAAGACCATGCTCCCCCAGGTTACTGAAGGCGGGTCACTGTCAAATATATTGGATCAGTGCATGGTGAGATTGTTTGCATTTTTGTATGCATGTTTCTTGTTTGTTTGAAGCTTTGCTTTTTAATTAGTCATATGAGACTTTTTTATGAAAGGGGAAGCCATGGGTTACCTGACTTTTCTGTTGCATAATTTTTCTTTTGTTTTTTTAGTGGTTACATGAACTGGGCCCTGCAATTTTATACCTTAGATATATGGATCTCTAGTTCCTGTGCTTTGTCACATCGACATAGATCCTTGCATTTTTTACCATACATGAATACACTTTCAAGTTTATCAGCAAAAAATGGCATTTTATTTGACAAGTAAAAGGGCATACAAGAGGAAAACAAGTTAATAAGGTCAGCTTTCTTCACCAAATATTACATTAATATGGAAAATTGGAAATCTCTGTAAGTGTTACTAGCTTGGCAATCAAGAGAATGAGATGTTTGAACGTTGAAGAGAGAACTGGATTGTGAATTTTGTTAGAAACATAACCTCCAGGTCGCACGGGACTTGCTATTAATCACATCATGCAATGATTTTTCAGTCAAACAAAATCTTTGGAAGTCCTACCTGCCGCAGTATGACCAATACTGACTCCATTATTCACCAGTTAAATGTCCATAAAAGTTTGACCTGTTACCCTTTTTTGATAAGTTTGATCTGTTAGTTGGATATGAAGTCTTTGACACTGGATCCAACAAGTGCTCATTGTCAAAAGTTCAATATAGTTCGTTTCATATGGTTTAGCTCATGAAGTTTACAATTTTGAAAGTATCTTTAAGTAAGCTGATATACATGAGAATGATACATAAACTGTAAAAGAAGGTAGCTGGTACAACTGAATTTTGAATCTGTCTGGGACACCAGTACAACAAAGGGGTTTCACAAATATTTTTCATAAAATGAAGGGTGTATGCCAAAATTGATGTCCACCTTCTTCTTTTGTTCTCTTGACAGTATTGTGCCATGGGCCTTGGCTGGGTCGGACTGGATTTCAGAGGCTTGCTTCCATCACTCTTTGAAGAGTAAACAAACATTTCTAGTTCTTTTTCTACTGCAATCAATATTAATCAATGTAATGTATCATCTAACCTTATGTGATTTCCTTACAGTGCAGTGCTCAACTTATTCTCGAAGAATATGAATACAGCAGTTGAGAATTTCCAGGTATACAGACTAGGAGCAAGGATTTGTTTTTGGTTTATAATACTGTTAACGATGATAACATTTTCCATTGAGAAGTGTTAAGAATCATCTCAATGTTGAGTTTGATTTAGAAAATAAGTGGGCATAATAGTTTGGACGTTTTGATGTGAAACAAACAATCAGCTTGCATTTTGGTGCTTGTAATGTAGATTTTCTATTTTTCTCTGTCAGTTAGTATTGGATTCGCACCGTTGGGTCCCATTACCAGCTGTTGGGTTTTCGGTCAATGGTGCCACCGAGGACAGTCAGGAGGATGTGACTCCTCCTCCTTATTTAATGGAGCATCCACCTCTTGCTGTTTTTGTTAATGGTAAGTTTGGTGATTACTTTTTATGGATCGCCTTCTAGAATTGGGTATGAATTCTTCTATCTTGTGTTCATTAACTGTAATTGAAAATATTTGTATGTGGAACCTTAGTAGTCCTCTTTTGCATTAGCTATTGTTTTTTCTTTTCTTGTTCCTAATTTCAAGTAGGCAAGTCTATTAATTAGTGAAGAGAAGAGCGAGAACTCCATAATACAATACATCTCAATGCTGTCATTAAAGAATCATATTTAACCTATAAATATTCAACTTATAAATCAACAATCTAATTAGTCAAAGGATTAACCTCCAGAGCCCAGACCAGGTAGTAAAATGGTTTTTTTCAATAACAAATCAAAAAATTTTATTATATAAATTATAGGATTTCAGTGGAAGAAAAAAAAGGAAAAGAAGAGAAGAGAAGAGTGTGATGTTCAACTTACTCTTTGCTCATTCAAAGTATGATATTCAACATCAATAGGATCTTTGAATGCAATTACTTGGTAATGATTCAACTCCTCCCACATACCCTGAAGAATGGAGAAATATGAAGACAGACTCTTTTTCTCCTTGATGAAAGCTTGCAATTTCTTGTTCAAGTTGTTAGATCTTAGCAATGTTCTTTTGGGATTAAGTCTTACTGGTTTTTTTCCATGCTTTGGCAACAGTATCAAGAAATAAAAAAGCCTCTCAACTTATGTAAAGTTGCTAGAGTTCAAAAGCTAGGAAATATGTAGAAAAACTAGAAAGATGAGAAAAGAGGAACAGAAGAAGAAAGAAACAAGAATTTGGAAAATGCAAGTCTTGGGTTGGATGGGCTGATTCACTCTCAAGGGTGGAAGGCTGTTCATTTTTCTGATACTTGGGATTGTTACCTCAGACAAAAATCTATTCTGAATCACTTTAAATCATTCAGGACATGTGTTTCTGTTGGATTTGTTGGAAGCATAATATCCTAGAATTCATTGGATCTTCCACAACACCTGTTGTCGTGTTGATCACTTTGGCCTTGGTTCCTCTATGGCACTAGCCTTTGCAGAGAAGAAGCATTTCCACCATCTTGTTACTAGCCTAGGTGTCAACTTAAATTCCTTTTATTGCATGGATAATAACCACATGGGCTTACTGATACACATCATAGATAATACCACATGATTCCCAAATTCTGTACTGGCCTAGGGAGTAGGGACTAATTGAAGTTCATTTAGCTGCTAGTAGACAAACAGTATTGTCATTCATATGCATTATAACGTGTTTTGCTTTAATAATATGTGTTGAACCTAGTTTCCATTTCAATATGTAATATTGGAGAAGTAACATTGATAAAAAAAAATATCCGAGATGTGACCACTTGAGGAAAAACCTTAAAACAAACCCAACACAAGAATGAACATTGTAGAATAGCTCTTATATCCATGGATTCATTTTTTAGGTTCATGATTTATATCAGGTTTGGAAAAGGATGTGAAATATTCTGATTTGCAGTGACTGATAGCCAGCATGAAATTGATATCTGTGATGCCTTTTGGGATTAATCACCTTTAGTTCTCTTCATTGCTGAACAGGATTCATGTAGCCAAGCCGATACATTTGGGACGAGGCTTAGTTTAGTTGAGTTGCCTTCGTTGCTTTATGTTCCCTCCCTTCTTTTTGCAGGTGTCTCAGCAGCTATGAATGAACTACGGCCTTGTGCCCCAGTAAGTTTGAAACATGTGTTGGCTCAAGAACTTGTCAAGGGATTGCAAGCTGTCTCTGACTCATTAATGAGGTATAATGCGTCTAAGATGCTCCGAGCAAACGAGTCTGTACTTTTTCTCTCACTCTGCCGAGCTTTCATAGAGGTGAGATTGTTAGACATGGAGTAAGTTCCATTCACACCCTGCATGAATATTTCTTTGTTCTATTGTTTTTATCTTCACTGGAACATGTTCCCGTTTATAGGTTGCTTATCCACATTGTGCAACATGCTTTGGGCGGTGTTATCCTGGTGGAGCTGCTCTGATCACGGAATCAAAGAGTTTGTTTGATGGCATTAGTAAGTTATTGTCAGTCTCTGCAGCAAGAGAACTCCCCAAACCTGTTGACACTACAGAGGGAAAGCATATTACAGAGAATGGTGGAGAAATGCCGGTGGCAGATAATGGTGTTCTGCCTGTCACTGCTACAGATGAAGGTGGGCAGGATACGAAGCAGACTGATGAAAAGAAAGAGTGAGATGTAAAGGTTTGTATGATGAAGTGAATTTTTTGAAATCCATGTAAATTTTGAGGAAGCCACATGTCTTTTCGGCCTATATAGGGTTGTCTCGTTCTGGCGGGAAAGGAAAAATACAGGTAACCTTAATTTGGTAGAGCATGATAATATTGTTAAGAGACCAACATATCCGCTGTGTCCCATTTATTCCATGAGCGTCAACTGATGCCTTTGGACCAATCGTGCTGTGCATCCCTGTTTTGGTTGGAATTGGACACTTGGACACTTGGACACTCCTTAGATTTCCTTTGACTGGTCATTCAAATTCAAGGTTCAAAGTATCGATACTTATAGGTTGATACGTATCATGCCGGTAACTTTCCGATATATGCCCCTATAGGGATTATATTGGGTTTGACCAAGGATAGTTGGGGCTTAAACCAACCCCTCTGAACTGATTTTGAAAAGAAAAATAAAACATAAAAAGTATTGATACATGCCGATACGCCTAACCAGTGTATTGATACTTTGAACGTTGTTCAAATCAACCCACAGCCTGACCCCTAATTCATTGCATCCCAGGCTACGATAATAAGCTTGACATTGCCCAACCACAACTACATGCTCTGATCACTGATACCATTTTGAACAGAGCTCATTCATTAGGGTTGTTAACCTCATGGACCCGAACGGAAAGACAGTACTTCCATTAAAGGTGGAAATTCTATGCATGAAGCCAGGGTGCCCACCTTTAGGAATGCTTAATAGATTTCTTCTCTTTCATTTCATTTCATTTCTTTTCATTTTTTTTGTTTGTTAAAGCTTTTCAGGTATCATACCTTCGCAGTATTATAAAAAATTATTTATTTAACTTCTGAAGTTTGATTCTCTTTTCACCAAAAAAATGTTCTACTATGATACGAGAAAGACACTATACCGGAAAACTTGAAACCAATCAACGGGTAAAACCGATATCATAAAGTGATAATTATTATCGAAATTCTGCAGGAGGGTTGATTGGTCAAAGCCCTTCGATTATCATATTTTTTTGGTAGCATAGGCTTTCCCTGTGATATATGAAGAAGATTGACGACTAGCAATTTCTAAGCAATTGTCGGATAGTATATGTTTGGCATCAATGCTGAATGGTGTTGTATATGTGTGGGTTGGAAGTATCGCTTTTTGTAAAACCTGAGTCTTTAAAAAAAAAAAAAGCGTTGTTGTCAGGTAGGACGTTTCCTAGGGCAACATTAGCACTTTCTGTTTGGTACTAATGCTCCATATCTGTTTTCAGTATTGGTACCCATTATAGGAAGTCCATGTCACTGTCACATCATGTTCCAAGGTATGGCTTGGAGCATCATTTTTTATGGAAAAGCGGCTCTAAACATTTTACTGTTTTCTAGAACACCGATTTTTCCAATGTGACGATATGTCACCGTTTTCTGAAGCAACAACATCAATGCCAAACATTGCCTTAGAAAACAAGGTTGGCAATTTGAAGCAAAACGCCCTTATCAAAGATGTGGGCAAGGGCCAAATTCATTGTTAACTGCTCAAAATACCATTAGAGTTCAGAATTGAATGGATCTGGGTAAAAAATTAATAAGAAAGGTGTTCAAATAGTCATTTGATAAAAAATAATGATTAATCAACTTGAGAAAACCTTTAAAAAAAATCGACTTGGGAAAATAAGGGTGACTAACGAGATTAAAAAGAAGCGGATTCGCGTGTAAAAGCAATAAAAATGCCGCTTTACAATACATTTCTTGGTCTCCTTGTTTCTCTCCCAATTCATTTTGGGCGGTGATTGATATATACAAGTGTAGATAGACGTAGCAGAAGAAAATGAACCTTTAAGCTATGTTTGGTTTGAAGGAAAAGGTAGAGAAAGAAAGGGAAAGACAGGGGAACCTATACAAGGCTTGTAAAGATTTCCCTACATTTCCCTGCATTTTCCTTCAAACCGAACATAACCTTATCATACGTATCTGAATGATGATCTTCCATGATGTACAAACACCATGATATCAATCCTTGACTAGAAAGTAGCATAATTTAAATATTTGACAAATGGAAAACAATGTTGGTTGTTTAGCAGGCTGTAGAATCAATAATAATGTTCCACATCAGCTATTGCGTTCAGCTAATCCTTGCTCTTATTTGTTACTATTTTTATAATACCGATTATTTTTAAGATATTATAATACCGGTTCACCAGTATCATGTATTTCGGATATTCATAGTAAAAAACAGAGGTTTTAGTCGTAGAGAACGTGGACTTGTTAAGCCAATAAGCCCCAACATGTAGGAACTGACTGCTTTTGTGCCAACGGAAATTGAAATGTTGAATTGTCCATTTTTAAACAGACAGTTTGCGTTTGATAGGAGGTGTGCTAGCTAGCCTTTTCTGGTGAAGCCTCTAGCCACTTTCATGATTCATCCTGGTTGAGGGGGTTAGGGTAGTGGTGATCGTGGGTCGGGTTGGGTTTAGCACTTAATGGATGGGTCTTGGCCCTAGGCCCGGGCCAAGCGTGTGGGCTTTCCGGGCTTTGATTCATCTGCAATACCATGGTCGCAACACTTTTGCCACTTTCTTGCCACCCCACCAAGTAAACACAGATGTACAAGACCTGGCTTGAAATCTGATCTTTTTTTTTATTATTATTATTATTATTGGTCGTTGTACTGTTAGTTAGTGTTTGTTGTACTATTGTTATAGATGAAGTGATCTCTTTAGTCTTTACACTTCAAAATAACAAGTTTTATTATGCTCTATCCAAGATGTACGTGCTCAAAAATTTTCTACAAAACAAGAGGCATGGCCATGTCTGTCATCCACTGTAACAAAGCTTTCGTGGGCATCCTTTCAGTTTTCAGGAGGGAATCATTTTTCCAAAATAACAATTTTGAAAACTTTAACCTTAGCAAGAACATGGCTGGGTTAGCTGACTCCGGATCTCCTGTCCATGAAAATTTTGCTCACGTTAATTGTAATCATATATGAAAATATCTCATCCTCTACGTAATATTATGCAGGGAGAAATATTCTCAATTCACGAGAATAGTGTATTGTGAGTAGACGTGGACAGAACTCTGGGCAGAAGATTCGGAGTCGGGTTAGCTGCCCGAAAGGCAAATTTTTATATAATTCTATATGCCATTTTTTATTATTTCTTTTTTGGATAATGTGGCCACAAAAAAAAAAAAAAAGTGGGGTGCGCATAATTCGGTGTGTAGACTTTTTAAAACTACCACAACTTTGATATTGGGGTGGTGTTGTGCGAAAGCATTGGGATTTGAAATATAAATATACCAAACCAATGCTTAATTATTGAATGTCAATTTGGAGGGTTTTCCGGTTTTCACAGTGGCTTATGACCTACATGGACAGCCTAGTTAAAGTTTGGTGAAAAGCTGAAAAGCTCAAATACGCTTTCATTCAGCCAAGAAATTGGCTTCTGGAGTGAATGGTTCATTGAAAACAGATCAATATATCTCAAAGGGGATGCCCTTCTAAAGGGGGCTTGAGTGTCCCAAGGTGTGACTTGTTCTATAATATGATAGTCTGTGATACACATTATGATCTAGAACTAAACTCAGACGTTCCGAAGCACGCCATGCACGGCTAACAAGTGTCATATGACTCATATCGCAAGAGGGCATTCTCCAAAAGACCATGAACATTATTAGAGATTAGAGAAAGAAGCGTTTCTTTACTAAATTATCGGATGTTGCAAACAAAACTTCACAAAGGTACAAGAACAACCATGCTGCTGTTTCGTCACCTTGTTTTTGATAGCCCATCTGATTTGTCACCTAGTCTCCACCTTCCACATGTTCAACTAGCTTAATTTCCAGGCGTTCATCTTCTTCCTCCGATCAGTGCCAGGTAATTTTCATCGCCGGCTTCTGTTGAAGTAGCGTCATACTAGAACTTGACTTCATGAATTCCTGATGATTACCATAATCAAATAAATAAAAACTCTAGTATCAAATATATATATATATAATAAATTAATAAACAGCTAGCCGTATGGATTATCACTTTCAGCTAGCTAGTTTCAATTGAAGAAGCTCTTCCTAAAATATATACCAGATGCTAGTTTTTATATGGCTAGCTAACAAGTGCATGAACTAACCAGACTTGGAAATGAGAACCGGGGAGTTGAATATTGTGAACTGGAAACGTTAGAAGAGCGTGGTCCATAGTTGAAGTAGTTCAAGGTAGGTAGTTCGTTATTCCCAAGATTTCTAAGTCGGTTCAGCTCAGGCAAAACAACTGTTCCAAGGTCGGGTCTGTCCTTCTTCCTTAGCTCCGAGCACTTCAACGCCAACTTTGCAAACACTAGAGCCTCTTCAACGGGCCAGTCCGGCACTGTCGGATCAAGCAGCTCCGCCAATGTTCCTTTGCTGATGGCCTTCTCCACAGTGTGAGTGAGACCCATCGGAGGTCTTGCCGTGATAATCTGAAGCAACAACACTCCCAAAGAGTATATATCCGATTTAATCCCCAGCTTTCCTGTCTGTTGGTACTCTGGGTCTATGTAACAAAATGTCCCCGCTGTTGCTGTCATGTGATACTGTGTGATACTGTCAGCTACAGAAGGCGGGACCAACCGTGCTAGCCCAACATCGCTTATCTTGCTCACGTAATTGATGTCTAGGAGGATGTTTGCAGGCTTAAGGTCCCGGTGCACCAGTGGCTCTGGTTTAGTCTGGTGGAGGAAGAGAAGCCCAGTCGCTATCTCTGCTGCTATCTTGAACCTGATCTGCCACGGGATTGGAGGAGTATTCCCCCTCCGGAACAGCCTATCCTCTAAGCTCCCATTTTCCATGTACTCATAAACCAAGCATCCGTACTCGGGGCAGGCCCCTAGCAATAGAACCATGTTTGGATGTCTAATGCAGCTTAATATCTCTACCTGCATCAATGCATTAATTCACCAGTTTTCAGGCTGCTATAGCTTAATTATATTAGCTCTTAGGCCCTTCGGGAATTTACTTACTAATCGTTTTTCTGAGAAAATTTACATGGCTATTTGAATTTGCTTATGTTCTTTATTTTTCAAGTAAATACGAAAATGATTGCTTTAACCATAAAAAAAAAAAACAGTAATTTTGTCTCATCTTGATAATCGAATCATTGGTCTTTTTTTCCAAACTGAATCGGTGGAATTGGTTTTTGCTAACCAAAACCAAACCAATCGGTTAACCGATGGATCAGTTCAGTTAACCGCCGGTTCGGTTCATCTATTTTTCGTCAATTTTCAATTTTCATAAGATATTATATTATAAATAGTAAATAATATATATATATATATATATATATATATATATATATATATATATCAGTTCGATTAACTATCGGATCAGGTTCGATTTCTTCTATATTCGTCGGTTTTATGGTTTTTGGGTTTTTCTTGGTCACCCCTACGGCCCTTATTTTGTTTTGAATTAAATTCAGTTTAGTAGTGCAACCAGAACCAGAACATACTTCTTGGTGGAATTGCTTCCTTCCTTGAGCTGCATCTTGTCTTAGAACCTTGATAGCGACGGGGGTGTGATCGAGTGTGGCTTTATACACGGGACCATATCCACCCTCACCGATCTTCATAGACGGCGTGAAGGATTCAGTGGCAGCTTCGATCTCTTCTATGGTGTACTTCCTGTAGCGAAAGTCGTTACTGGCCAATGCATCCAACACTCTAACCTTCTCCTCTAACTCGCGCATGGCCTTAATTTCTGCATTCTTTCTCTTATTTGCTTCCATTTCGGCTAGCCTTTGCGCCGCTTCGGCAGCTTCAATGGCTGCCTTGCACCTGGCCTTCTCCTTCTCAGCAATCGCGAGGGCTGCCTCTTCGGCTTGTCTGGCTTCCTCCAATTTGCGGGATTCCTCCATCTGCCATTGATGAAGCTCTAGTGCCTGCAATTCAAGTATCAGTGGCACAAGGCTCTCTATTTTCTCCTTGAGTCACAAAAATGATAATAATCATATAAAATCTTTAATTAGTTGGTGGATGGCTTCACCTTTTGCTTGGCGGAGATTGCTTCTTTGCAAGCTACGCTATACAGTTCCATCGTTTGCCTCAATTCCAACTTTAACCTCTTCATCTCGGCCTCCACTTCACGCTGCAGTAAAGCCATCGATCAGTCACGAAGAAGAAGAAGAAGATGCATTGATGATCAGAATCAGACAGATAAGGACGGTGTTTAAGAAGTATTGCAATTACCACGCTTTGTGTTGATGATGATGAGGAGCTCCTGGGACTAGTATCAGAGTGGAGTTCTAGATTTTCTGAAGTTAAATCGCCTGATAGGAAACGCATTGATCCTGAACCGTAATCACTGCTCCTTTCTATGGACCCTCTCTCCAGACTTGCACCACCTGGACTCTTCCAACCCTTACCAAAAGGTGATCTGTATCCCAAATTAAAAACAACAATTAAAAAAAATACACAAGAATAATGTGTATTTCTGGGTTGAAAGTGGGGAAGCAATTTAATAGATTACGAACTAGAATACCAGAGCGACGATCGAGCTACTACGATTTACCGACTACGAACTAGAGGGAGACTGAGATCATCAGTTCATACAAATGAGCCTTATTATTTGGTTATTTGTTTATGTTACGATCGACTTACTTAATTGAATCGTCGGACTCGAATTGATCGGGGGGAAACTGGGGAGGAAGGACTATTAATGGTTGCTTGCTGGGTGGTGGATTGGGATTCGAAGGGGCAGGGACAGGACGACTTGCTGATCGGACGGTCGACACCTTTCCTTTCGAAATAACGTAAACCGTACAAAAGTCTGGTGCAGATTTGGTCAAGCAAGATGCTACATCTGCGTTCCTGAACCTCCTGCATGTGGACACAGTACTGAAAGCGTTAAGATTCGAGATCGAGATCGAGATCGAGAGAGAGAGAGAGAGAGAGAACCTTGTAATGGCGTTTCTACTTGATGCACCGACGACAATGTTGCTGATGTAGTTATTGTTGATATAATCAGTTATTGCTTTTGAAACATCAACATCTTCAAGAACCACCTCCCTCACTTGAACCTGCAGAAACTCCAAGGATCCATCAGAACAGAGAAAAGTCTTGAAAGGGTCAATTTGAAATCTACTAGGAAATGAAAATTCTTCAATATTAGCTGCGCTGCGGACGCCTGAAGATTGATGATCGGTCGGCCGGTCGTGTGTTTAGCCTGGTTTAGGTTGGAAGCGCGGCTTAAGCGCTGAAGCTAGCTCTAGCTAGGTTCTGCAACATGATTGATTAACCCATAATCAATGGCACAGCGTACATACCCCTTTACGACTACAGAATCCACGGTAAGGAAGGAAAATTTGTTGCGTCTCGGTATCAACTTCGCGATTGGAGTCGAGAGCAGTATCGATTATGCCCATGCTCACTGCAAAACCCGCAAAGGAGGACAAGTAATAGCTACAGTGATGATAGCGATATCGACGATGACAACGAAAGAGAGATGGTACCTACGGGGATGCAAATTACGGTTCTTGACGTGGATGAGAACGACATTAGGGTTTTTCATCAACAGATGATCGATGGTCCATTTCACTGCAGACTGGCTGTTCTTGTCCTTATCAACAGCCACAGCTGTGGAGTTAACAGCTGGGCTGTCGTCGGAGAAAACGCAATTCGAATCCATTTGGAGATCGGTGTGCGTGGTCGTGATGCGCGCGCGCTTTCGCTCAACGGCACCACTCCCGGCCGCTACCACCAACTCCGATCCGCCTCCTCCTCCACCTCCACCTCCAACCAGAGAGAAAGAACGATACAGCACCCCGAGGCCAACGAAGGAACGTAGGAGACGGACAAAAAAATTACGGGGCCTCCACGCAATAATTAAAACCAACTCAATTCAATCATCTCCTCTTCTCTCTTGGCGACGTGGGGCTCCAATAATGACACGTCACAACATGACAATTTGACAATGTCAAACAGATTCCATGCAAATCTTAGCGCCACGAGCGCTCTGGCTCCGCAAAATTTGTCACCTCTCTCATATCCTGATTCTATTGTCTGGTGGTCATGGTGAGTTGGTGACATTCAGCCCAAATCAATTACATAAATTTGGACCGTGATTGGGCCCACTTCTAGATGGGCCTCCATCGACGTTATGAACTTGCACATACGTCATGGTCATGGACCCATGCCACGTGGGGGAAGGAAAGAATCATCTATTTATTCGAAAAAAAAAAACAAAATTCGTTTGGGCTTGGTCCAACCCAACATTAAAGCCCGAATTTGTCAACCCAACCCAAGCCCAATTTGAACTAAACCGATGTAACTCGTTTGGGCTCGGACCGCCAACAAGAAAAAGGATCAGAAATGTCAATGAACTAATAATCCTAATCCTTAACAAAAAGATGGGCTTTGGATGTCAATGGGTCAAGTTCGGTATGAAATTTCTGATGCTTCTGACGAGATGAGATCAGTCTGGTGAATTGAATGAGCTGAGCACTTCCGGCAACTTACGGGTAAACAAATGGTTAAGGGGCCCGGGGGTAATCCCCGGAGAGGGGTTATTCCACGCTCAAGTGAATTTACATCTCCACCCCACAATGCCCTACAGCACATCCCCGCCGTGTCTGGAGAACATCTCCCGATGATGACATCATCGGTTCTGATACTATCATCGAAAGATGTTCTCAATACACAGTAAAGATGTGCTGTGGGGCATTGTGGGGCAAAGATGTGAACTCCACTCAAGTCAGTAAGACATTAGTAGGCTAAGCGGAGCTAAAAAACCTAAGATAACAAAAGAAATGAGAAAAATAAGAGTGTTGAATTGAGATTTCTGCCAACAAAACACGTTCCAACCCTCTACCAGCTTGATCTAACACCACACATCTCACTATGAGACTGGGACCCACCATAAAAGTGGGACCTGCCATGTATAAAATGTGTGGTGTGAGATTATGTTGGTAGAGGGTTGGAATGTGCTTTTTTGGCAGGTGAACTAGACACAAAAGTGTTACCTTTGGTTAGTAGTGTCCATAAAAACCTGAAAAATGAATCGGCAATTAACCAATCGATTTGGTTTCAATTCAACATTTTTGAAAAAACTAAAGGACCAGTTCGATTTTTGGTTAACTAAAAAAAATCGGCAATTAACCAAACCAACCAATATATATATATATATATATATATATATATATATATGTGTGTGTGTGTGTGTGTGTGTCACATATTAACTATATATTATATATAAAAATATATGCATTTTATATACAAGTATATACATACATTATATTTTTATAATATTTATAATATATTATATATCATTTATTATTTATAAAATAATATTATACATATATTTATATAATATATATTATAAGTATAAAAAACAAAAAAACTAAAGAACCAGATCAGTCAAAAACCGAAACCGATCAACCAATTAACCCATGGTATCAGTTCGGAGAAATCGAAAAAACAATGGGACTGGTTCAGTTTGAAAAAACAAACAAAACAAAACAAAAACCGTGGACACCCTACCAAGGGTCACGTGCCCTTATAAAGATGCCGGGAGAGCCTTTGCTCATCTCACACTATGACCGTGTTTACCGACAAAAACGAAGAAAAACAACTCAACAAAATGAGTTCCCCATCTATGACGGTGTTTACTGACAAAAATGAAGAAAAACAATTATCTATATAAAATCGGTTGATATGCTTCATTCATGTGCAAGGATGGCCAATGAACATGGTTCTTGGTAGAATAGAAAAGCTAGGATATGATCTGGTTTCCCCTAAAAATTACTGGGTTGAACATATCATTCTTTCTTCCCATTGCCTACAACAATCCACAGATTCCACACACTACTAACAGCAAAGAAAAGAATGACAGACAAGAAACCGACTCCACACACCACGCATGTAAACCAACCCAGATCAAATCCTGTAGGGAGAAACCGAAAACAGGGTAATATGAGTTAGGGATTGGGGAGATTACGTTTGTTCCGGTGACTACTGACCGCCGGTGAGAGCTACTAAGGGATCTTCCATCTGTTGAGAAGAGAAGATAAAAAATAACATTAGAAGAAGAAGAAGAATGACCTTGAAACCGGAGAGTACATGCCGGAATGCTGGAATTCTTGCTGCCATTCCACGGTCACAGACGCCGGTGTATGGTGTGTAAGCCGGCGGGATGCTTGGGGTAGGATTCGGAGGAGAGGAAGAGAAGAAATGGGTAGACATGAGTTCGAATGATCTTGAAACCAAGGTTTTAAAACCGAACCGGACAACGAACCATTCAGGGATCCAGTTCCTGAGTTGAACGGTCCGACCGTTCGAACTGAATGGATGACTTATTCTGACAAAAAAATAAAAAAACGGCCAAATAAAAAATGTACAATGGTTCAAACTTTCGGGTCAATGGTTCACTAACCAAATTAATGATTTTTAGCCAAAAAGACAGTTCTGAGGTGAAGTAAAACCAGTCAAATGATCAGTTCCTTTTTCTGGTCCGACCGTCCGATTTTAAAAATATTGCTTGAAACTTTGAAAAAAAAAAAACCTCTGTTAATTTTTTGTTTTTTGTGGATGATTCAACCAGATTTGTTCAGCTAACGGTTGAACACCCACTAACGTCATAGGGTTTTGAATTGTTGACGTGGCCGCCTCTCCTTAGCGGGTTCATGCTCACCGAGTCACCGTGAACTCACAGGTTCACATGATGCGAACTCGATACAAGGTAGACCGAAACAAGTATGCCAAATCTCTAATCCGATACGATTATTTCACAAGTGTCTATTGTTCGAACCGAGTAAGATCGGATTGAGCTTAACCCTAATCCAATCCGAGTTGTTGAAGTTGAACCTCACACAAAACACTTAAGTAATTAACCATAATCCAATCCGATCCAGATAGCGTAAGATCGGATTGGACTCAGGTTGGGATTAGTTGATCCGATTACTTCATCTCAAAACGTAGGGTCGGATTGGACTCAAGTTGGGTTTAGGCTGATCCGATTGCTTGACATTATTATATGACATTCGTACATTAGGTTCAATAATTCACATTGGCATTATTATGAGCGCAAGAAAGTAGTTATGGCGGTTTAAGAATATTAATTTTTCTCTAAACTTAAAATTGTTTTTCATTTGGTCAAAATATGTAAAATTCGAAAATCTGTACATTCCAAAATTTTTAAGACATTTGGTATAGGCATTAATTATAAAGTTGTTTTTTTACGTTAATTAACCATCTAATTTCATAACATAAATTTGGATAATTATACTGCATTTTTCCTTAGGCCTAACCCCAAGTTTTAAACAAGTACATGATTCAATATTTAAAATGGTTACTTAGCACCTCCCTAAAATACGAGGTACATGATCAAACCATTGGAATCGTAGGCATTTCGTGGTAGGGGTGCCATTTGGATTGGATTTGGTTTAATTTGATCCAGTTTAATGTGAATTTATTATAAATATATCAGGTCCAATTCAATTTAATGAATGTTTTAGATCAATTTGGACCAGTCTAATTCAATGTCTGGACTATTCAATCTGTTCAAATTCATTTTGATTTAAATTGGTTCAGTCTAAACCTGGTCCATTGACACATATTCTTATCTTATATCAATGGATTAGATATTGGCTTAATCCAACCTAATCTAGTATAAATTTGTTACAAATGGACCAGGTCCAGTCCAATCTAATAAATATTTAGGACCAGATTAGTCCAATTCAATATGCCTTGTTGATCCGTCTAATCCATCTAAATTGATTTTGGACTGGACGGGATCCAATCCAAAACCGGTCCATTGACGTGGTATGGGGGTATTGGGTTTATGGCTGACAAGCCTCACGTGTAGGGGTGCAATTTGGACAAGCTTGACTTGGGAATTTATTTAAGTTTGAACAAACTCTCAAATTGTATTAATTATTCTTTTTTTTTATAAGCCTTATTAATTACTCAAATTGGGTACCCGGTTTGCACCCCTATTCAGATGCATCATGCTTTGTCCTTACCCTAATTTCTATGTGATATGAGTTATATGATACCAAAATAAAGTTCTAAGTTATAACCAATATAAAAAATGGATTTTCTTTTTGAAAATTTGACCAAAAAATACAACCTTTATATTTTTGTTTTCTAGTGTTTGTAATTGCATCTCTACCCATAATGCTAATATTTGATATCCAGAAGTTTACAGAATATAATATTTTCAGCAAGGGTGCAAATTAGGCATTTGGTTTAAAATTTTTTAAGTTTATTTGGATCACATTCCTAAGACTATGTTTGGTTTGAAGGAAAAGATAGGAAAAGGAAGGGAAAGGCAAGGAAATCTATACAAGGTTTGTAAAGGTTTTCCTATCCTTTCGGACCCTTCCTTTCCCTATTTTTTCCTTTAAACCAAATGCAGCCCAAGAGAAATAATAAACCCCCTTTTGCAAATTTTACTTGTTTATCAAGTTTGTATAGGCAGGCAATCTAAAAAAGGCAAAATCTATGATGGATGAACTACACTGTGAAGAAAAACTAGAAATAGTAATAAAGTCATCCATCACAGTTATTGGTTGAAATTTGATTTAACATAGCAAATTAGGAATGGCAACGGGGAACCCCCTCCCCGTCCCCAGTGATAGGGCAGGCTGGGGCATGGCATTGGGGGTGTCAATTGAACTGAATTTGGTCCAATCCGATCCAGTCCAATGTGAGTCCATTATAAATAGACCAGATCTAACCCAATCCAATGAATGTTTTGAACCAATTTAGATTGATCAAATTCAATGTCTGGACCGTCTAATCTATTCAAATTCATTTTGATTTAGATTGGTTTCAATCCAAACCTGATCCATTGACACATATATTCTTATCTTATATCTATGGACCAAAAATTGGCTTAATCCAACCAAACCCGATATAAATTTATTACAGATGGACCAGGTCCAGTCCAATCTAATAAATATTTTGGACCAGATTGGTCTAATCCAATATTTCTTGTTGGTCCATCCAAACTGATTTTGGACTGGACAAGGTCCAATCCAAAACTGGTCCATTAACACCCTTACATGGCACCCTTCCTTCATTGGGGATGGGGAATCCCCAATTTTTCCCCGTCCTAAAGAAATTACCTAAAAATGCATTAAATTTTAGGGTTAGTTTAAATATAGGGTTGTGGGAATTTGGGTGTATTGTAGAAATGTGTTTATGGGGATCCTAGGTTTTCTTTTTAGAATTTGGAGAAAATTCAAGGGAATTTTAAAAAATTAATATTAAACCCACAAATATTTTAATAACTTACCACTGGATTAGAAGTGGGTTCAGCGAATTATATAGAAACCTCGTCTTCATCTTTAGCAAATATTCGAAAATGGATGGTAGCTTAACTCTAAAAAGATATGTTAAAGAAGAAATTAAGTGTTTGCCTTCCTTTCATTTTCTTACCAATTACACCGAAAAATAAGGAGGAATAAAGACAATCTACTCAATATTTTCATCTCTTTCCTAATATAGAATTATATCTAACTCGATCAAAGTTTTATCAGCAAAAAGGTTTTAACATTTCTTTATCTTTTTTTGCATGCTTAAGAAGGCATTTTTTATTTAGAAAAGCTAAGAGGTACTACAGTCAATCATAATCAATCAGTAAAAAATGTAAAAACAAAGTTACAAGGGAAAATTCCTGATTAGTACCATAAACTTTAGGGATTGTGTCAAGTCAATTCCCAAACTTCAAAATGTGTCTATGTAGTACCCCGAACTTTTAGAATGTGTCTAATAGGTCTTTGCCATTAACAGTCCATCAATTCTTTATATCACGTGATGACGTGTTATTTAAAACGTTTAAAATATCAAAACCACCATTGAAAGAAGATATTGTTCATTGTCTTCTACCTTGAGACTGAAGACCTACACCATTGCTAAGATGGTGCTAGGAACTAACCAAGTTCCGGCGACGGTTGAAACCACCATTACTATGATTTCTTGTATATTCTTTATTTTTTTTATTTTATGTATCTGATGAAAATTTCCTATATATTCTAAAATCCATCTTGGGTAATTGTTACAACCTTCTTATCTCAACTAGGATGCAAGGGGAGAAATGATGTCAGTCTTAGCATTTACAAGGGAAAGGTTATATTGATTGTTAATGTTGCATAACAATAGTATAACTTAGTTTATTCTTTGCTCATTTCAGAATTTACTCGTGTTTGGATTTGACTTCATTAACTACAAATTTATTGTTAGTAACCGGTTATCCATCATTCCACAAGCCAGAAAACAAGATTGCTTGGAATCAAGGTGGAACAACAACATAGTTTACTGGAATTAAGATTTAAATAGAAGGAATTTTGTTTAAATTGGTTTACGTGGAGTGGTAGATAAAGAAAATTAGATGACACCTGATGGGTAGTTTTGACATTTCCAAAATTAACTAACAAACTATTAACAATAAGGACCTATTAGACACATTCTGAATGTTTGGGATACTACATAGACATGCTTTGAAGTTCGGGGACTGACTTGACACAACCCCTAAAGTTTAGGGTACTAATCAAGAATTTTCTCAAAAAGCCCATAACAAGGCAATAGACCAAACTACTAATAAAGCAAAAAAATCCAATAAGGTTGTGCTTGGTTGTAGTGCAATTTTATTTGCACTAGCACAAATGTGTGGGAGAGCAAATGTAAAAAATACAAATTCTTGTTTAATTTTGTTTTGGAATTTACTTTATTCTGCTTCATGTCTTAATTTGTTTCATTTGTATTGCAATCAAACAAAATAAGAAAACATTTGAAATAAAAATAGGTCAAAATTTACACTTAGATCATTTGCATTGCCATGATTTTGCATTAGTGCAAATTTATTGGCATTTCAATGTTAAGTGGCATTTGAAAAGACACAATTTCTATTTTTTTATCAACCATGCAAACGTTAACAAAAAATGAACAGTCTCAAATCCTTGCCTCCTCTAGTCACCAGAATGCTTCACTAAGACCTGACCCCAACTTTCTTGAATGGAAGAGAAAAATGATTTGGTTTTGTTCATTTTTTGTCAATGTTTGAATGATTAATAAAGAAAATTAGATGACACTCGAAGGGTATTTGCACCTTTTTAAATGTTAATTAACATTTGATTAACAGTAGATACTATATTGGCACATTTTGAAAGTTTGAATAATGAATTGTCGCGTTTTAAAGTTCGGGATTTTCCTTTAGGGAAGTAAAATCAGAAATTTTACACCCAAAGCACAAGGTACTAATCAGAAATTTTCCTTTAGGGAAGTAAAATATTTTTGAAGTGGGAAAAAGATTAGGTCGTAGACGTTTCCAATCTGGTACTAAAGTTTTCGGAATTTTTTCTAAAACATTCCATGAAAAAGGAATATCTCGTAAACATTACATATACATGGAATAGCCCAAAGTTGGAGGCAAATCTCAGAAAAGAAAAACAGGTTGCTGAAGTTGGTTAGCGTGGGATATTTGAAAGCGTGCTGACAAATGACAATGTCGAGATGATTTAATGCATACAAGTAGAAATAGGAAAAACAATCTGATTGGGATGCTTGAGGATTAATTGATGATTGCCACATAGCTATACTATTTAAAAAGGCACCACCAATGTGGCAAGTACAAGAACTGTTTTTCTTACTCAAGGTAAAATGAGTTGCTGGATGCCCACTCGCTTCAAGACGATCTCTACCTGAACCTTGCTGACTGATCTTCACAAAATGTCCTAATTGCAGTAGGACTGGGTACCTGTGTTTATCTATGGAATGCATCAACCAGCAAGGTAAAGATTCTTTCTCTTTCAAAGATTCCACTTACATCACACACACACATAGAAACAGAACTTAATTGAACTTCGTCTTTGTTTGTCCTGGGTGTTACTGGATTGCGCTGCAGGCTTTAGATTGGTTTCTAATGAAGTTGTTATCTTATTTTCTCACCCAGGTGACAAAATTGTGCGACTTGGGACCTAGTTCCAGTGAATCCGTGAGGGCTCATACATATTAATCGATACAAATCTTGGTGAACTTCAGGCAAGTAATTTATTGTACTACTTACCAAGAATTCTCACCATCTAATTTATGATAACTTTACAGTTAATACTCACCAAGCATTCTGACCTTTGTGATAGATTTGGGACGACACTCAGTGCAAGAACGAGATCGCAGTATACCTCAGCCTGATCTTGGTTCCCAAATGACTTTGTGAGCAAGCTTGTAGGCCATAAAGTTAGAGGTAAAGTCTTCTGTTTCTTCATGTTTACACAGAAAATCTGAGTGCTCGTAAATGCACCAATGCATTCATCAATTAATATATGCATATGCAAAAAATCACCACAAACTTAAATGAATTTATCAGTAATGTTCTGTACATACATCCTGCACCAATCTGTAATGAATGAACATAAGACTTTCTCATAGTGTAGGCAGAGTTATAACTTACTAGCAGCTCTTGGTGCATGTAAAATTTGGTCTGTTGAATGGGATATCAAGCCTAGACAACCATCTGATATTTCTTTGTTTCCAATTTGTCAGGTATGTGGGCTAAAGTAGTAGTCTCACGATGATAGGGAACTTGCATCAGGTGGCAATGATAATCAGGTACTACCACAGGTTCACCAATCAGATATTCAGATACTGTATCTCAATTTCTAAATACAACTTCAAAAGTACCAACTGATAACTGGTTTTCCTGTTTATGGTCAGTTGTTAGTATGGAACCAGCATTCCCAGAAACCAATACTAAAACTTACAGAGCATACAGCTGCTGTCAAGGCCATTACTTGGTCTACTCACTAGAGTGGCCTTCTTGCATCTGGAGAAGGGAGGAACTGCTGATCGATGTATTCACTTCTGGAACACCACAAATGGCAACCAGTTGAACAGTGTAGACACAGGAAGTCAGGTTTCTATTCTTGCATGTATTTGAGATATCTACTAATATACTCCTTGGCCATAATTAAGTACCAATTACTAATATCTCCGTTTGTAGGTCTGCAATTTAGCATGAAGTAAGAATGTCTATGAGCTAGCTAGCCAGTACTCATGGATATTTCCAGAGATATGCACAAGAGAACATGATCACTAAAGTTAGAATATGCTTGCAGAATATTGTTACTGGAGCAGGGGATGAGACCTTGCGATTTTGGAATGTCTTCCCTTGGGCAAAAACACCACCAGTAAGCATTACTGTCATCTCCTTGAATTTGGAATCCTCTTACCAAATATTTTGGTTGATCTTATCCCCATGTTGTTTGTATACTAGGCACCTACCTGTCCATGATACAGGAGTTTTGGTCACTAGGACGAACCCATATTCGATAGTGATATGATCAGTTGGGGAGAGAAGAGATTTCATTCTACCATATGTTGAACAGAACAGATGCTTTGCGAAGAAAAAACTGACAACTCAAGTTACCAGTTAGGCTGGAAGCTAATTAAAAAAAGAAAGAGTGTTAGAGAATGTTATGTGGTTGTCCAGTAAAGCAAACGATGTCATACTACTATTATTACATTTGTTGTATGTAAATTATAACATTTGGAGGCCAATAAGTGTCAAATGACACATGGTTGTAAAGAGATTTCTTTGCTAGACAATATCTGTAAAGAGTTTTCTTTTTATATATAGACCTTACCATTACTTGGTCTACCATGTGTTAATCAAAATAGATCAGTCTATTTCAATCCATAAAGATGCATGGAGAAACCAGAAGCCCCTGTAAAATTTCGTGCACTGGCACAAGAGAGCATGCTTTTCTTTTCTAACTGACAAGTACATGCTTAACAACAGGTGCCACATGACTTTTACCATCACCCTTCTCTATGTGACAGTATTTGGAGATCAACTGGACATTTAAAATTGAACATTTTTCCATTGTCTGGTAAAAAATCTATCCATATTTCATTATTCATAAATATAGGGCTAGATTTGCCCATAGACAATTCCTGTCAAGGAAATTGATATAAGTAACATAAAAGATAGGTAGTTAAGCTGGTTAATTGATCAACCTTTGATTCAGAAAAGCAACCAAAAGTTGCTGACAATTATCAATGGGAAGATCAATTTCCAATCCTAGAGTTGGGAAAAGATCCTGCTAAAAAGAAACCATAGTACCGGGCCATACAGAGTGCATCCAAGACATATTTGCATTCAAAATGAGAACAAAATTGGCCAATGTCAAAAAGAAGGATTACAGTCTTAGAATTCATATTTGTATCCATCACAACTAAGAATCATTTAGCAAGAGTTTATTTATCATTGCAAAACTAAAGCAACCTTGCATTTTTATGAACTAAACATATTTGTATTTGCACTCTTCCAAAATAGAGCATAAAAAGCTGCATTGATCACATTATAGCAGCAAATAACAAGGCATACAACTTGGAGGGTTCATAAGATAGATTGAAAAATAATAGGGGAGAGTGCTTGCCCAGAAACAAATTTTGTCTTCCCTCCTTTTAGGCAACTGCTTGGCTATGGTTTTTATAAGCCAATTGTTACCTAGCAAGTCAGTCCGTATGTCAGATTACCTGGCAAACGAATTGCTACCACCGTGCACCTGTACCAGCATTACCAGCTGAGCAAGATGGCATGATCAACAACTGCACAAGGTTGGCTCAGTCTAAAGGAATGTTCAGCAACATGATTGGTTTTGTTTTTAAAACAAAAACAACCACCACATCAGCAAAATCAATATATTTTTTATGGCAAGGCAACTGTATTTGTCTTGAAAAAACATACACATCGGTGAGCATCCCCTAAAAGGGTAAGGCACCTAGAATGGATTGACAATAACTTCTTCAACTTAGAGGTTGATTAGCAAGGTGGTATGGTTGTTGGTATGAACAAGAATGGATCTGAGTCTGTGGTGTATCTCTACTATGGCTTTACAGTCTCTGCTAGCTGGCATATTCAAATATTCAAGAACAGTTCAATGTAGTCTTCTTTACCTTGTACAGGCTTCCCTGCCTTTTTCTTTCAAACCAAACACAGCCTTAAGGGACTACAGTCTCTTCACTAGAGGAAGAAATCTAAGATTGGATAAATAAATTGTAGAATTCATGCAATGGCCAGAGAGTAGGGATCTGCTACCAACAAAACACTCTGAACACTGTCCCAACAAACCACTGCAGCCGCACATTAAGAACATCTTGGCAATAAGAAAACATCCTTAGTAGGATCTTCTCCAAAAAATCATATGCACCAAATGACTTACTAATTATGACTTTGATAGTGAATATTATAGTTATCATCAGCTTAATTATAAGAAAAAAAATGAAGTGAAATGTAAAGACACTGACATTGGCAATCCAACTGAATGCAAAAGTCTGTTAATCTGAACTGATGAAAAAACAATTTGTATTACTTTTTGACAAGTTTTAAGGACATGGATGTAGCCCTAACCATATGCTCAATAACACTTGTCTTTTCTTGTATATGAATAGGAAAAACAATAGTAAGGCTCACTACATGACAAACCTGGCCAGAAATCAAAACAGCTTTTATCTCGTTTATAAATTACCCTCCACCTTGGCCAAACGTGTAATCTTTGGTGGAGCTTCTCTTACAAAGAAATAAATAAATAAATAAATAAATAAATAAAAATAACAAGTTATGGATCAGGAAGAGAGCTAGCATAGTGTGCTAAGTGAGACTCAAGAATTAGTAGCACACAACAGCTGTCGATCTCAACTGTAAAAGCATATCCCCTTTTGCATATTATATGTAGTAGAACAAAATTTGGAAATGATAGCCGTCTGGCTTTATGCTTATGCACATGAGAGTGGTGATACGAAGTTTTTAAAAAAGAATGTAATATAATTCTCTATGTAATCTTTCCTCAAGACAAGATAAAACTCCTTGTACATTCAATTCCTAATCCTCAAGACAAGACAAACATATTTGAGATCTTGGTTACTGCCAGTGATCCAGTAGATACTATTCTTTTTGGTTTCTTGAATTTGGCAACTGCTACAGTTGGAAAAGAATCAAATACTGCAACTTTTCATCAACTACCACAAATCCTGACAAATCAAATAAATCTCTCTTGAAGATGACCGTGTTGCCTTGGGCCTTAACCATGATGCCTTCCTAAAACGGGGTTTGCAAATTTGGCTAAACTCTGCAAGGCACAGCAATCATAAGAAACTGTGAGAAGAGGAGAAAAGGCAACTAAGACCACTACTTCTATCATGAAACAGCTACCTTGCACATCTTCACTCTCAAGAAGCTTGATTACAAGATTGCCTCCAGGTTGAAGAATACCATTGCCAGCTGATTTAGACGTAGAGCTATCGGACAGCTCCTCCTGATCAATATCACTGTCAGGATGAGATAAGACAGTTCCACCAACAGCCAAATCAAGAGCTCGCATTCCTAATTCAACTGACAAAGCAGCATCTTTAGTTGTGATTCCAGAAACTAAGGGACACATATCTGACAGTATCACAGAAAATCCTTTCCCCTGAAAAACCAGTAAGACAAAATAGTGTGTATCTTGAATCAGAATTAAACCAAAATGGAAGACCAAACAAAAGAATAATTTCCCACAAGAGGAATTGAAACATTATTGTGGACCTGAAAAGATCCACCAAGTTGGAGAGATACATAAGCACCTTATTTCCCCCGATGCCTGCTGAGGGTTCAGACTTTTAAAACTAAGCATAAATTAGGAAAATAATGGACGACCCAAAGAGTTATCAGGAAACCAGTATTGTTAAACGGAATTATCGGCACCTACAGAAAACTGGACATATTAGTTGTTATCTGGTTATTTAAGGAGCTGTGGTTTGATTGGCTCTTTGACCAGGTAACTTTTGTTTCCATCAAGATAATTGACCGTAATTTATACCTTGGGTCTGTACTCACTTCTTTATTAGTAGATTGGTAAAAAGAAAGCCAATTCAAAACAAAATCCTAAATTAGTGCAGTGAGACCAAAAGGTCAAACATGAATAACATAATTATCAAATTAGAACCTACTGACATTGAGTAAAATAATCAAAATATTCCTAAAACAGAAAACACTCAAGAAATAGAAAAAAATTAAAAATAATAATATTCCTACACTGATTCTATGACTGTCATGATGCCCATGTCAATAAGTGTAAGAGAATGCCATGCTCATTGCTCTTGGGAGTGACAAGAAAATGAAAAGAGTGTTTCTCATCCAGCAAAATCCAACATATAAATTAAAGTTAACTCCCACTAAAAATAGGGTTAGGTGCATAATTAGTACATACATGTATTATGCATGTATTAAACACATATTTTAAAAATTTTGACTAAACATATTAAACACTAATTATCTAAAGATATGGAAAACACAGTAATTTTTCATAAAAATTTAATGCATGGATAGTTTAGATTATCTAAAATACATTAATTTTAAAATATTAATAAAAATGGTTTAGATTTTAAAATGCTTTATTTTTAATATATTTTTATAATACAAAGTATGGTTATATTTGTAAAAATATGCATATTTCAATGGATCATGCATATATTTACATATAAATTGGGCCAAATTTTTCGTTCCATACTTTTTTAAAAGATAACACATTCAACTTTTACCAGTCTTTGTATGTTAGATTGGATTTTTAGTCATATTTTCCTTTCTTGAAAACAAATTGTACATGAAGTTGTTCGTATCATACTTTTTTGAGAATACATATTTAGTAACTACAGTTAGGTTCCCTGTGGTAAGTCACGTTAGTTCCTAACAAGCTCTATGCAGAAAAAATATACTAACATCGTAATCCTATGGTTTGATGGAGTGCACAAAGTAAATCACCCAAGGAGGAACTTATCATTTGCAAGTTATGGCATCAAGCATGAGTATTGTAGGCATCAGCAACTCCAACTTCCATTGTCAGAACCGTCAATATTCAATACAAATGCTAGAAATGTTTATTTGTAATCCTGGTTTTGTGTGCAATATTTTGCAGAAAATCTAAATTCAAAGAAATGAAGGTCGGGAGAAGCAAGACAATGAACAATTTAATACCTTAGGTGAGAGCAACCTAGCTTGCTCTTTTGGAAGATTCATAACATCAGCACAAACTGTTCGCACTCTCGTATCACAATGAAGAGAAGGAACTTTCACCTTCTGCTCTGCAACTCCAAATCACAGACACCAGGATTACTGACTCAAGAAATAGGAACTCGGTAAAATAAGCTGCACAATGCACAACATCTAGATATTTCTTGGTGGAGTCTGTAATTTGTGTTGTTCTCAGGCTGTCTTTGAGGCCTGGGTTTTGTTGTATCTTCTCTTTTCTGTTTGAATAAAATTACCTTACCTTTTCAAAATAATAATAATAATAATGATTATGGTTTTTACCTTCAGATCAACACCCACAACCATGCCACCATTTTTCATAGGCCCCAAGCTCTGACAGGCTACCTGGATTAAAATAAACAGAACATGGGATCAACTGGAATAGATATGCAAATTATAATATAAAAAATAAAAATAAATAAAAAAACACCAGAAGAATCTAGATAAGACGAAATCGGTACCTGCAGCCAAGCACCAGGAGCGCATCCGAGGTCGAGAACGGATGCGCCGGGTTTTATCAGTTTGTATTGCTTCTGCATCTGCAGCAGCTGCTCTTGAAAGGGAATCGTTGAAAACGGAAGATAAATGAAAATTTTCTTTTCAAAGTAGAGGTATGAAAATAACCAAGGGAATATAACCAGGAAAAGAGAAAATGAATAAACTCAACAACCTTGAATGCAGACCGTGCGACGTAGCCTAGACGCTGAGCTTCTCTGTAGAAGAAGTCCGCTGTTCCTAGCCCGCTCATCTTCTCCTAAATTGAAACTACTCTTCGATAGCTCGATTCGATTTCCTTTCACACTAAAACCAGGAGTATTTCCGTCATTTAGGAACTAGTGTTATATATTGTTTTCAGCATATCATCCAACGCCCAAGATGATGTCACGTACACCAATTTTTTGAGAAAACATTGAATTTGGCGTTTCTCGTATAGAAACTTGGAATCACCACCTAAGAGACTTGGAATCACCACCTAAGAGAAATTGAGGTGAAGGGACCTCCGAGAATCACGTCAAAATTCATTTTAGTTTAATAGTGACTACAAACCTCGAGGCACCAGGTAAACCAGTCCGAATAAAATTCGAATGGGATAGGGAAGATGTTAAACACCCCACTCCGATTCCAATAGGTTGGGCCCACATGGTATTTCAGACAAGTACATGCACAAAACAACAAATGCTAAATAAATAAAGCACACTAAAAAGAAAGCCAATACAAATACAAGAGAGAATCTTTCCTACTTTTATTATTATATGATGCTTTTTATTTTATTTTATTTATTGTTTTTCTATTATTGTATTTTTATTTTTTTTCTATTACTTTTCCTTATCTTTTTTTATCTGTTATGCTTTATTCATCTTTCCCTTTTTATATTATTTTGTTTTCATCTTCTTATTTTGATTTATTTATGTTCATTTACTGGTTTATTTATTTATTTTTGCTAGATTTTCCATTTTTTCCTTTTGTCATTTTTAAGGGTTCTACTATATTTTTCCTTATTTATCATATTCTAACCTAGAAAATTGCTACAAATTAAGCCAACCTCTCGACCTAGGCAAACCTATCACTACAAATTTCTAATATTGCTATTTCTCTTTTATGTTTGTCTTGCTTCATGTTTTATATATTTTATTTTTTCTCTCTATTTTTTTTCATGATTCTACTATCTATTATTATCATTATTTTATTATTATACCTACCTCACTAACCAACTCTTTCCTCTTTTTGTTAGCCTATTTATTAAGAAATTAATTCAGCTTCTCTTATCTTTCTAATACCTATTTCTCTCCTTATTTAAATCTTAATATCACATATCATAGATACAAAGCATTCACTATAGCAATTCAGGGCAAATCCGAAGAGAATTCAAAATTTCAATCTATATGCAAGAGCATATATATAATTTAGAACTAGCCAAAAATGAAATATAAAAATTAATAATAAACAGTTCAACTTTTGGGTTAAAATGTGTTAACCTTTAATGTAATTAATAAATAATAAAATTTAATAAAATATAAAAATACATAAGTTTTGCATCATTCAGGCACATGTATAATATCATATATTTATCATATTAAATAAAAAAGTAAGTGTGATATACTATAATTATTTTTACACACAAAAATACAAAAAAAAAATGTAGAAAAAATTGAGCACATCTATAATTCTATATTTACACTATTATTAAAAATATGAATAAGATTGTGGTTTGACTAAAATACTTATTTTTGAATTTAGTCCATATTTAATTATAAGGTTTAAATTATAAATTAAACTACTAATTTTCACCTCATTCAATTTCTTCTATTTAAATTTTACATTTTGTAATAAATGAGTAGAAGAAAAATGATCAATCAAAAAGATAAAACACTACAAAATGAACTGTCTAGCCAAGTAGGTAGGATTGTCAATGATACTTGAAACTTTACAACTTGATATAATTATCACATATTTGGATGAGGTGTTTATTAATCAGATTTGGATTTTGCAATCTCCATCCAATTACTAATAGAAAAACAATACATAAAAATTTATAAAATAATTTTGATATATTATCACTAACTTAAAATTACCACGTGCAAAGCACGTGCATGCTTACTAGTTTTTCATAAATGTATTAAAATATTAATGTTTAAGTTAAAACTTTTCTTTTAAACAATTTAATTCAAAACTAAAATATTGAAATAAACTAGTAAAAAATAAAAAATAAGAGATATAATGAAAGCAAAGCAATAGAATTTAATAATTCATAAAAAAAATCTTATTATAATTATAAAAAATATTTTAATATTAAGCGAATACTATATCAAGATGGGTTGAGAAAATATAAATTATTCTTTACCAATTTGAATAGATCTTGATTGATCCATTTTGATATGCCAAATTTTCTCTCTCTCTCTATATATATATATATGTGTGTGTGTGTATATAGAAAATATGTCTTGAAAACTAAATAATATAAACACTATTAATTAATATGTTTTTGTTAAAATATTAAATTTACTATTGATTAAATTTTGAATAAACTGTTTTTTCTATTATTTTTTGTTAAAATTTCACTATTTTTTCATAGATTATGTGAAAATTTCACTGGTAATTTTATAAAAATATTATTAGTATTTTTTAATTAATAGAAAATATTAATAAAATAAGGATTATTAAAACAAATAAAAAATAACAAGAAATTAGAAACTTAATTTTTTAAATTAACAAGTAAAATAAGAGAAAATTTTACTCAAACTAATAGATTTTTTTAATATATATTAGAAGTATTATTTATTGAGAAAATATTAAAATTTTGTGAGTAACAAAAAATATCTGAAATACTAATAAGAGAAAATAGATGATACAATAAAAGAAATAATAAAAGTAAAGCAATAAAAATTAATAATTAATAAAAAATATTATTATAATAATAAACAATATTTTAATATTGGCAATGTAAAATCGATCTCTCCATGGAATGTTTTGGGCCCCACACAACACTATTTGTATGATTCCAAAATTTGGTGAACATTATAGCAAGAAGATTGGTCTAGAAAAAATAAATTTTTAGTTACCAAATTGAGCAAATCTTGATTGGTTTGGTTTGGTCTACCAAATCTACTATATAAATTTTTAGAAAATATGTCTTTCAAACAAATATAAAAAACATTATTAATGAGCATATTTGTATTAAAATATTAATTTTGTGATAAATTAAATTTTGTATAAAAATATTTTTCGTTATATTTTCACTATTTTTGTTAAAAATTCATTATTTTTCTATAAATTTATGTGAAAAGTTCACTACTAATTTTTCTAAAAATATTTTTCTACGAACATGAATTGTCTCTTTTGTTTTATAGCTTCATTGCATTGAACTTAAGTTTTAGATTAAATTGCTTCCTCAACCGTGCTAATTTCTTAGGGAAAGAAAAAATGAACTAGGGGCCTACAATTCACTATGCATCAAGAAGATGAAGTTTATGGGCCAGGTTATTTGAATATCTGAAACCGTTTGACTCGCTAGCTTCAATTACTTGTCATACTAAAGTGGACCGATTTGGGTTTATTAGTTTGATTAATTATGCAATTTTGAAAATAAAAGGAGCAAATAAGATATTTTTATTTAAAAGTAATTCTATTATTCATAAAAATATCAGAAAAAACAAAGAAATAAGGGAAGATAATAGAAAAAAATTATTAATAACTTTGTTAATTAATAAAAACCTGATAAAAATGGGAACCCTTTTTTGGGAAATAAAAAAATAACAAGAAATAGAAGTTTAATTTTTAATTAATTGGTAAAATAAGAAATTTTCACTAAAAATAATATAAAAATTTTAATATTTTACAAGCATTATTTATCAAGGAAATATTAAAAATTAGAAAGTAACAAAAAATGTTAATAAGAGAAAAGTTAAAATCAGCATCTTACTTTAATTTTATAAAAATGTTAAATGATTAATGAAAAAATAACATAACTAAAACAGTACAAACTTGTTAACTTACTATAAATATAGTAAAATTAATTTTATAAAAATGTTAAATGATTAATGAAAAATTAACATAACTAAAACAGTACAAACTTAGCAAAAATTATTTTATTAGTTAATATTGATACAGATTAACGAAAACATAATTTAAATTATATATATATATATATATATATATATAGTTTAGCCTAATAAAAAAGTAACTCTTCTTTTCCCTAATCTCTTCAAGATCTCCCTTTTTGTAATTCATTAGACAATACATAAACTAAGAATAATATTAAGATGGATAGGGTTGAGCTTGGTCCAATTAAAAATATTCCAAGACTCCTACTTAAATGTCGCTTAACAATGCCTATCCATAACATTTATAACATTTAAGAATAATAAAATGTAATAAAATTAATAAAATTAAGATCAATAATAAAAACAACACAATTTTATTTAACATGTAATCCAAAAAGTGGTTTGGGTTGGACTTGATACCATGGTTTTTGAACTACCGTTGACAAATGATTGGACCATTCAACTTGAGAACCGTTTAGGCACCGAATTCTGTTTTACCCCAAACCTAGCCCTTAATGAAAAACTGTTGAATAGGTTAATGACCCATTGGTCCAGGTGATCGAACCGTCGACCCGTTTGACCCATTCATCAATTTTGATCGTTTTTAAATTTTAATTATTTTTTAATTTATTTTGTCAAAACAGGCCACTCGTTCGGACTGGACGGTCGAATCGTTGACCCAAAAACCGGTGGCCATAATGGTTCCAGTTTTGGGTCATTTTTAAAAACATTGCTTAATACTGCTTTACCCAATTGATATTGTCATGAGGCTTGTACCATAATATTTTAACAACACTTGTGCATGACATGAGGCCCGAACTGGTATATGTATACAAACAATAGTAATATAAAATTATGCGTATGCCTCATTGCACAAATAACGTGGGTGTTTGGTATTGATGTCATTTTCTAAGAAAATGGCGCCAGGTAGGTGCCACATCAGAGAAAGCGGTGCTTTAAACAACATCCTTTTGTTTGGTACTGTTTTATAGAAAAAGCGTTGCTCTATACCACACATTGGAAATTGGGAAAGTATGGTATGGAGCAATGCCAAATTCAATGTTTCCTGAGAAAACGACGCATTGCTGCCAGTAGTGCAATGATGTGGCATCATCTTGGACGTTGGATAATATAGATCAATGTTGAAAACATTGCTGCCAGCATTGGTACCAAACAAAACCAATACTGTTTTCTCGGAAAATGTCAATGTGGCAGCACTGGTTCCAAACAAAAAATAGGTTTTTACAACTTTATATGCCTAGTACCATTTTTATGAGAAATTGGTGCAATATTCCTAGCACTAGTGCCAAACACCTACAACATCTCTACGCATGAGGTAGAGATGGTACATATCTATCCCAACCCAATCCAACTCTCAAACCCGAGTTGAAGAATGTACACATATCAGACTTGGGCTTGTGGGCCAAGTTAATTCAACAGAGCCCGCCCAAATTACACTCCAAGTTGATTTTATGATTGGATTGGGTAAGTGTTATGAACC